GGTTGTTATAATCCAATTGATTTTTCAAAAAAGAGAGCATACGTGGGGCTTATTTTAACACGATTCAAGAGATATTGAATCTAAATACGAATTATTTATATCTATAAATTATTTAGATTTACTTCACAATTTAAATTTAATTTGATTGATGTTAAGTTTAGCTTGAATGCCAACATATTAGATTAGTATTTTGATTTAATTAATAATTTGATTATTATTAAGTTTGACTTGCGTGCCAAGTGCCAACAGATTCGTATTTGTGTTTACAAATTATTTTGATTTAATTCACAATTTGAATTCAATTTGATCATTATTAAATTTGGTTTAAGTGTCAACAAATTAAATTAATGAATCTCATTATTTGTGTTTATAAATTATTTAAATTTAATTTTCAATTTAAATTCAATTCGATCATGATCATGTTTAGCTTAAATGTCAACATATCAAATTAATAAATCTATTCCTTTCTATTTATGAATAGATTTTAATTCATAATTTCAAGTTTGACTTGAGTGTCAACATATTAAATTGGTTAATCTCTTCATTTGTGTTTATAAATTATTTGATTTTTTTTTTTGGAAAAAATAATATTAAAAAATTATTGCAGAATCTCTTGGTGATACTTGCAAATCTCTCTACTGCAGTTTTCAAAACAACGTTCAACAGTTAAATATACACACACATAAGAAATGAAATTTTAACCAATGAACCAAGGCATCACCCCCTTGGACCATTTAAGATTTGGAATCCCCCATAGAATGAAACAAGCCATAATCAATTGCGTCTAATTAAGCTTTGAATCCACTTGCCGATTTCAGGTATCATCAACCTGCGAATGAAAAACGAAGCTCGGGAATGTTGTGGTGATGTCCCTGTTTCAAGGATGCAAAACAAGAATCATTTACGGTGAGAGTAGACGTGGGTGGAAGAAAAGGTCTTTATCAGTAACCTTTGGCAGCCAATTGGGTTTCGTGATAGAGAGAATGTTTGGGACTTACTTGAGGTATTGCAGGGTCATGTTTTTCAGAAGGGACGGATGTTGTAAAACAAGGCTTCTCCACTCTTCCTTGTCGATTCTCCCATCATGTTTTGTATCAGCTTCCTCAAAGGTCTGTTGCAAAGCTTGAAAACTTAGCAAGCATAAACTAGATCCAAGGAAAATGAACGTTATACATGTCTTTGATTGAATCAGATTCGAGTGACTGATCACCTTGTCGATTATACTTTCTATAACATCGTCTGAAAGGTTCATGCCTGATTCAGCAAGCGTAGCCACTACCATTTGCTTCACCTGTATGTAAAAATACATATGAACGATGAGCAGAAGGATCAAAGAAATATAGAGAATAAAATATTGAAATTGGAAAACATAGTACACACTTCCTGCCTCTCAATGAAGCCTTGTTGCTTGAGATCATATAGTTGAAAAGAGACTGCAAAAGGGCATAAATGAAATATGAGAAGACAAAGTACTCGGCAGATGAACAACTGAAAACTGAATCGATTCTTAAGTTCATAGTTCTATTTCCATGCTAGTCATTTAAACCAGTCACCAAGTTATTGGGGATTATGAATGATGACCAAAGATGCAAATAAAGATCATGATTCAGACAACTTAAATATGGTTCCATACACTCAATCTTATCATCAATTGGCGCATTTGGATGGAAGACAGAGAGAGCATGAGCAAACTCTTCGAAACCTAAAATTCCATTATGCTTTGTATCAAATAAATCGAATACCTGCAGTGAAATATGAAATACATTGACAACAGCTCAGGCAAGATAATAATAACTTCAAATATCGCTATGGTGAGATTTACGAGCATTCTTTTATCGAGGATGGAAATATATTGCACTTAATGCATGATATTATGTAGTTAATGTAGGATATTACTTTACATATTATAGGACCTTTATACTTGTATATATACCCATACTGTTGATGAATAAAATACAAGAAAGTATTCTCTTCATACTATTTTGACAGAAACAATATTAGTTAACATTAGATAAAAATACCCGATCTGCAAACAAGCTCTCATTTTTTGTTTGTTTTGAACAAGGCCAATTGAAACTCCTCCTGCCAAATGGTAAAATATAATAAAATTCACATATGAAAAAGCATATGCTGTGATCATCAAACCCCAAAACTTGAGAAATACAAAAAATAAAATATAAAATAAAATGCGAAGTAAAAAATAATAGAAAAAATACCTTGTTAATCAGCCCGTCATCTATCACAGCGCTACTTATCTTCTTGAAGAGCTCGTAAAGAGCTTCTATTTCACTTACACTAACTGCATCGAGGTGCACAATAAGGAAAAGTCTGACTAAGACATTATTCATTCAAAAGCTTAACAATATTATTAAAATAAAAGGGGGGGGGGGGGAAACGATGACATACACACAGTCTCTCTTGCAAGAAGTTCCGGATCATCCAGACGTCTAGATTGTTTGTACAAATCAATATCACAGCATTTCAGTACAGAAGCAAATAAATGCTTCAATCCATCTATGCACTGCAACATGATATTCTCCGCACATCAAAACACTCCATAACTATGCAACACAGGACCGAGGTTGGAAAAATTCCATTGACATCAGTCTTTGTTATAAACATAATCTGTCTCAAGACAAATAAAGAACATGACATACCTTTTAACCATTTCCTGATTCTGCTGACTTAAGCTCAAAATGTAAGACTCCGAATTCTTAAAAGAAGTCCTCAAAATCAAATCAATATCTGTTTTACCAATAAAATCCGGAATCCCAATTAGTGTCTGTTTGATGCTTTTCTCATCTCAAATGCAATGATATTTTCCCTTATTTTTGTGCATGGAGGTATATTCATGAATAAGAAAATAACTCCTCTGTATTCATTTTTCATACATTGGGTAATACGTAAACAATCAGGCAATGCACAACAGATGAATGATGAAATGCCAAACAGATTACAGGTTGTCAAATTTATCCATTTTACAAAAATTACAGGTTGACGAAAACACAACAGCCTTTGTTACCCCCATTAATATAAAGAATCTTTAATTATACAGACACTGAAGCCATTAAAAGCATGTGTAGACAGAAAAGTCCAATGAAGGAAACAGTTCAAAAACAAATCTCCATCAAAACAAAAACATTAAAAAGCTGATTCAAATCCAAAAATCATACCTTTTGTTACAAATTAAGCCTGATCAGATCCGACATAATCAATTCCACAAAAAATCACCAAAAAAGTTTAAAATATAGCGAACACAACGTGAATAGATCTATCAAAGATTGCAAATTTTGATTGAAGATGTTTAATTTAACCTCACATAGTTAAAAAAACATGATAGTTTATTCATAATTTTTTCTCGGGAAACAAACAGAGAAACATAATTTAAGGAGAAAATTGTTAATAATACCTGCGAAGAGTGATTCGGGGTAGTATGAAAAATTACGAAACCCGCTGTGATTTAATTGGGGATGAAAGATGGTAATGATGAGGGCGGAAATGCTTCATGAGCTGGAGATTTCAATCATTTATATAATGATGACTTGAAAAATAAGAATAAAAAACTTAATTTAATTAATTATTAAATTAAAATATAAAATAAATGAATTACGAAAATTTGACGGTTCGTGACACGTGATGCTGGCTCTACCGTGGTTTTTATAGTTCAAGAATTTGGTATAATTCCTCAACAGATCTCTGCATTATAAGGTATCAATCAATCCAGTCATTCTCAAAACTGTGGTATAAAAATTCAATATATATATATATATATTAATTTTCAAAAATCACAAATAATTTTTATTATTTTTTAAATAAAAGTAACCGACTTGCGTGTGAGAGAACAAAAACTTATCAAATAATAATAAAAAAATATTTTTAATGATAATTTAATATTTATGAAATCATAATATTAATTAAGTGATAATTTAATATAAATATAAATATAAATATAAATATTTATTTTATTTTATTTTATTAAATTAATTTATTTTGATTAATATTAATTTATTTTATATAATAATTGATAATATCAATCTATTAATATCATTATTATGAAAAATATTTTTATCAATATTTTTAAAAAGCACAAATAGAATAATAAAAAATATTTTATAATAAATTTAAGAATTTAAAAAAATAAAAAGGGGCATAATATCAGAATTATCATTTAACGTTTATTAAAATAGTCATTTTGATTTATATATTTTTTTTAAAATTTTAACTTAATATTTCATTTTAAGGTAAAAAGATCCTTCTGTGAATGGAAACTATTAGTTAACAAATGGTTAAAACTCTAAAATAGAGATATTTCATACTAAAATAAACGTTAGGTGTCAAAATGTCCCAAAAAATGAATAAGGATCAATGTGACTATTAATCAAACATTAGGATCTTTTTTGTCCAAAAACAAAACATCAGGTTAAAAATGCTTAAAAATCTAAAATGATCATTTTGATAAATCTTAGGGAACTAATAATGACATTATACCAAAAAAGAGTTACAAACAACAATATAAATTACAATATTTAAACCACTTATATTTTTATATTTTAAATTAAAAATAAATATATTTAAATCTTTTTTAAATTATAATTAATTAAATATAAATACACTTTAAACTAATTTATATCTATTGTTGATAACAATAATTAATCATCTGGATACACAAATTGTTTAAAGAGATAAATAATTAATCATCTATTGTTATTATATAATAAATCATAAATAAAAGGAAATTCGAAATATGGATACTAAACGGCGCCGTATATACATTTAGGGAAACAGGGATGCGGGAGCAACATAAAACCCCGCGACGCCTCCTTTTGAAGTCATAATACCTTAATGATTCAAAAGCTCAAAAACGCTTAGGAGGAAAAAGGAAAATCCCAAATTAATTTCTCCAAATCAAAGAAGAAACCCTAGTAAGTTTTCACATACAAAAAGCATTATCTTTGAATCAGAATTCACAATCAAATCCATGGGGAAGAGAAAGGAGCGTCGTTTAGCTGCTATGAGCAACGCCGGCCGCCGCGTTAAGCTCGATCTCTTCGCGGAACCCTCTGGTAATCATTTTGTCTCAGTATTTATATATATAAATACCTTGGAAACTGTTGAATGATTTGCTTTAGTTCCCTTGGCTCTAGAAAAGGTATATATACATATTCTTCGTTTGTTTTTGGTAGTTGATAAAGATTATGCTTTTAATATTTTCCCGTGAATGAGCAACCGGATATCAGTTGAAGAAGTTGTTTAGAGCTATTAAAAGTGAATAAGAATATAAATTGATTATGTTTTAACTTTTGGTTTCATTTATTGCAACTTTTAGAAGATTTGGGTGGCTCCTCAGTACAAGAAGAAATTGATGGGGAACCGAAACATCTTGCAGGGTTGCCCAATTCACAATCTTCTCCAGGTGGGTTCCGTCAGTTCTCTTCAAAAGGAATATGTAGAGAGAGCATGAGTGGTCTACAATATTTTGGTGGAAATTGGAATCTATGCCAGACATATATGTTGTTTGCCCCAGAATTTGTTTTCAGATTGTAGGTGTAAGCTGTGGTCTTGGGAACATTCATACGGAACTGATTGGGCCAAATCAATCTGATATTTTGAACGTGTAACAATCTGTTATGCTCTATTTCGCTGCATCCAAGCTTTTTGCAGATTTCTTCTGGGAAATTTTTATCTCGGTTCGTATGTCTCTTGTCTTTATTTCCATCATACCTCCACTGACATCTTTTCTCTGATTTGTAACAGGTGGCCAACAAGAATTGCTCATAGAATGCTCCTAATGCATCTATAAATTTTATCATATGGATTTTGTTCATCCTTTTATTATCTTTTCTTGTTTATGGAAGCTGTCACCTTTCTGACCTATCCTAAATGAATGTTTTCTCAGCCTATTTTTAAAGGTTTAGATATAGTGAAGCCATTAAGTTTAAATTGTTGTTTAAAGATTTAACATATTAATGTTGTGTCTTCAGGTCAGCAACCACCAAATCCTTTGTTATTACTCGGCCAATATAGTGATGATGAGTTGGATGAGAAGTTGGATAAAAGACAAGAGCATGGCACTTTGAATGGTTCTTTATCTGACCATGATGACCAGGTAATTTTTTATTCCCTTGAGTGCATTTGGTTCATGTAATATAAGATTACGGTTGTGAATAAGATTATGGAATGCATGATTACCGAATAGAATTATGGGGAATCTTACATTACCAGTTAATTTGACCAGGATGGTTCAGTGAATGTAAAATTATTTAGAAGTATATTTTATTACATTCACATTTTTATAATTTTTTAAATAAAATTTGTTCTAATATTTTGGTATATTTAAATTTATAAAAAAATAGAATAGATTTTTTTCAAAAAAAGTAAAAATGTAAGATAATTTATTAAAATTATAGAAAATGCAAATATAAATTCGATACCAAAATCAAAACCTATCACCACTTCAAAATCATTTTTGACTCCAAAAAAATATTTATAATTTTACTCTTCATTATTCTAGCTCCCAACGTAAACTAGTTAAATCAACCTATGTATTTAAGGTTTTTTCATATATATAAAATTTTACATGTTAATATTAAAATTGCCTATTGATTATAATATGTTTTATACTTTTATATAGTGTCAAATTTTAATTATCAAATAACATAAATACACTCTTGATTTGATTATATCTACCCAGATATTTCTGTCAATGAGTTTTAGGTTTTAAATAATAGAGTACTTTGTTATAATGTTATATAAAGTTATAAAACAAATTATAATCATAACTAATATATTAATATATAAATCATTAGAAGATGTATAATAAGAGAGATTTTTATTTTTAATTAGACACTATTTGTGAAAAGGATTAAATTGATAAAATAATAAAAACAAGGGTAATTTGGACCCAAATCTAAGATTACACCCTATAATCTTTGATAATGCGAACAACATGCCCCCTCATTATTGTTTCTGAAATTCAGGCTTTATTCTTTCTATTTCGTAAATCTATCATTTTTAACTGGAATAATGTGGGAGCATTGTGGGTTGGATTAGTAACTTGCTAATTTGAAATGGCATATGGTTTTCATTTACATTCTCATTGCTTCCTTTTGTTTGGTTAAGGGTCCCCTAAGTGAGATCTGCAAAAATTCAGAAGCTGACGCAGGTGAAAGTCTAGATACTCTAAAGGTCAATCAGCTGAACATAGAGAAAGATTCTACTCCAAACTCTATCCAGAACTTGGTCGGCATTGATAACAAAGGAGATATTTATCTCACAAATGAATCAGTCAAGAATGATTCTACCGAACAAGATTCTGTTGCTGGAACTTCTGAAGTACAGGCCACTCAAGATGTGGGTTCAGGCTGGAGGATTGTAATGCATGAAGAGAGTAATCAGTATTACTACTGGAACACTGAAACTGGTGAAACTTCATGGGAGGTGCCTACTGTTTTGAATCAGATAAACCAATCTACATCTCACCTGAAAGCACCTATTGTTGAAGATATGGAGGTTGCTCAAGTGGATGCACATGATTTGAGTTCAACTGTACGTACCCAATCGGTTGATGTTGGTGACAATGTAATTCTTCAGAGCAAGGTGCATGACAATGAGGCCAAGTTAGACGAGCACGATGGAGGATGCAAAAATGAAGCTTTGAAGGATAAAATCTCTGATGTCTGTAGAAGTGATTTCCAAAGTAGCTTAGATGCTGTCGATACTTGTTTGGTTGATGGGAGTTTAGATCAGTCTGGAAAGCCTACACATGATGTGCTTGCTAATGATGATAATAAAGCAGTGATTGATCTATCTATTCATCTTTTAAGGCAAGGGGAGTGTTTACTAGAGAGACTGAAGTCACTAAAAGTGTAAGGAATATCTAATTGCTTTCATTCATCTGTTATTAGGTTATTTGCTATTACTTGTAGCCAATATATTTTTACTATGTCTTTTGTTTAAGGTAGAAGACCATAATTTCTTTAGTTTTCATTGTTATTTGTGATTCTAATATGAAAATATTTTCAGCTCTGAAGACTATCTGCAAGATCAGGGCTGGATGTCTAAATGCATTTTAGAAGTTGAGATTAGACTTTCAGATATCAGATCGTTGCTTTCATATGGATCATCTTTATCACCATTTTGGACACACTGTGAAAGGCAGCTAAATCAGCTTGAAAGTATTATCAATGATAAAATTTACCAGCTTGCAAAATCAGCAATTATGGAAGAGGCTGAAGAAGCTCCCGACTCTTTTGAAGAAAAGCTCGAGATAAAGGAAGGTTCATACAACAAAGTTGAAGCAGATGGAGAGGATATCAATACAATTGCTTATGCACCTATCACTTCTCATGTTTCTTCTAATTCTGCAGCATTAATTGTAGGAGGTAGTGATGTAAATAATCAAGTTTCCTCCAGCAATGCTGCCCACAATGTAGGTGTTCCTACTTTTGGTTCACCTACTGAACGTTGTGAACATGAAATTGAAGAAGGTGAACTGGTAGATGGAGATACACTTTCTGGAGAAAATTCTAAGACTGGAGTCTATGCCAGAGAGGGTGATGATATGGATGTGGACATGGAAGTTGAAGATGTAATACCACCGATCAATGTGGCGCTCGGAGATGTGCCCCCCATCACTACAGGTCAACTAAAGAATTCCACTGATTACTCGGCTGTTCTGCCACCTCCAAATGAGGAGTGGATTCCTCCACCTCCTCCTGACACTGAACAAATTCCACCACCTCCTCCTGATAATGAACAAGTTCCTCCACCTCCGCCTGATGAGCCTCCCGAGCATTCATATCCTCTTGCCCCATCTCATATAGAGACTACACCTCTCACTTATGCAGAACAATACAACCTAATGTATTCTGATCCAAGTTATCAGTATTATGGACATGCAGTTAATCAAATTCCTGTTGGTGGTTTCTATGGACATGCTGATGGAACTCAAATTGCTGTACCCCAAGCATCATTTTACTATCAAGCAATTCCAAACACGTACTCTGAAAGTGCATCAGTTTCCATTAAATCTGTTGAACCTGTAATATTTTATGATCTTCAAGGTAGGGGAGCATCTTCCGTGCCTGTAGCTGGTGGTGCTGAATCTTTTCAGTTGCATAGTGAAGTGGGTACTATCAGTTCTAATACTATTGCCTCAAATCAAGTTGGATCTGGTGGTGATATTGCATTAGCAGGAGTTGGTCCGAGGGCCGATGATCCTATTGTTAATGAGAAGACTGAGGTTGCATCAGTGGGGAGCTCTTGTACTTTTACTACCATTGAAGCTCCTGCAACTGTTTCTGTTAAAGAAAGTTCTGCTGCCGCTGCTGCAACTTCATCATCAGCTCTGAAGGTTCAATCTAAAGGTATAATTTTGGGCCATAAGTTTTACGTGCCAATTTATTCTTATATGATGGTAAGAGGCAGATAGATTCAACCAAATTAATATTGGTTTATCAGAGTGAGTGATCCCTAGAATTTGCTTTTGACTAGTAACTTAGTTTGCGACTTGTTAAACTTCCTGACAATTGTCATATGTTTTACTGAAATTGATTAATTAATGATATGTCATCCTTTGTTTTTCAGCTGCACGAACTAAAAAGAAGACTGTTGCTGTCACATCCTCATTGAGGTCTAATAAGAAGGTCTCCTCTTTGGTGGACAAGGTATTGAGAATTTCCTGTTACTCTGGAGATTCTGTCGTTCTTGACATTTATCTAGTTTGTTTTTAGAATGAGTAGAATTATCGCTTTTGTTTTATCAGTGGAAAGCTGCCAAAGAGGAGTTGCAAGAGAATGCAGAAAATGAGCCTGAAAATGCTTATGAGATATTAGAAAAGAAGCGACAACGGGAAATAGAGGTCTCTAAAATGAACCTTTATTAAATAATTATTTATTCATTTTCACTTATCTCTGGGACTTACGCATCTTTGATTTCAGGAGTGGCATTCCCAGCAAATTGCCAGTGGAGAGGCTAAATATAATGCAAATTTTCAACCTTTGGGTGGTGATTGGTATGAATATAAAATTGCATAAGCTACTCATTGTTTTACTCATCTGATTATGTATATGTATTATGTAGATCTTTCCCATATGTACAAATAAATTCTTATATTGTTTTTCTTTTTCATGGGTTTTGGCCCTTTACTTTTTGGTGATATACTTTCTTCTTGATAATGAACATAGGCGTGAAAAAGTGAAGCGGAGAAGAGCACAAAAGGCCAAAGAATCAACAGAGACTTTCTCAGAGTCACTACCTGATGGAAACCAACAACCTGATTTAGATGAACTCTCAAGAGGTCTACCTTCTGGATGGCAGGTAATTGAGTATTGCTTTTGTAGTTTTGGTTCCTTGTTTTGCATAATCAGTTGAAACACTGTTATGGTCCTGGGATATGGATTGAGTCACTGGGTGATTAATGGGAGTGTCGGAAGCAACTGCCTTCCCTTTATTACTATTTGTTGAATGACCAGCGGTGATTAATAGTTTGTCTCATCGAAGGGAGATTGAAATCTCTCAGCTCATAGGGGGAGACTGAAACCTTAAGACTCGTTAAAAGAAAGACCAAGACTAAAACTTCTTAGTTTTATGAATCTTCTATTTTAATTGTTCTAGTTATGATTTTTATTCAAGATATGCAACCTTTATTTAAAGGCTGACTTGCATCAATGAAATTAAGTCAAAAATATTCAAAAACCTAAAAGATTTTAGTATCTATTTTAACAAGTCATTAGGTTCAATCTCCCTTTGATGAGTTGCGAGGTTTCAATCTCCTTTTGACCAGCTGAGTTCCAAGTGAACTACATTTGTAATCGGGACCTTAACACACTTCCAATTGGCTTCAAAGTTGTGGGATCAAAACGGTAGTTATCAACTAATGGCTAATGCCGTGTTCTCATTTTGCTAATCGAACTTTTGGGTCCAAATTTCATTCTTCATGACTTGTCTTTTCTCCAGGCATATTGGGATGAAGCTTCAAAACAGGTCTATTACGGAAACGTCAACACCTCGGAGACAACTTGGATTAGACCCACAAAATAAGTTTCGATACTAATTGTATGAGTATTTTTGAGTTGGATCGGAATATTTATTATAATTTAACGTTTCGTTTTATACCCAAAAATGTACATCTGTTTAGAGGTAGTTTAGTAATGAATCAGGCAATATTCCTTGATTGCTATGTTGTTGAAGGTTCAACTTTTATTTGGTCATTTCACTTATTCATTTAGCAGGTTAGGCTTTTCTGCCAAAATTTTACATTTTCCAACCAATTAAAAGGACTCGAATCAAGTTGAAAAGTTTTTAGCAAAAACGAAAATGACAGAATCCACTATAGATGCAAAAACGAATCTTCCTTTGATTAAAGAACTGAAAAGGGTGACTCGTCCTTTACATTGCGAACACCCATTTCTTTCTGCTTTTCATACACATGCTCTCAAACAAGAAATGAGAAAGACCAGTAACTAAAGTCATCTTTTGCCATATATTTGAGTTCAAATTTCAACGTCTGCAATATGTTTCGACATTCTATATCAACGGTTTCTTGCAATTCAGTCCCCCTTTTGAGGGGGGGGGGGAATGTACAATTGCACAATGATTGACAATATATTGTTTTTTAAGGGAGAATAAACAATGACATGGTTTCAATCTAAATAATAATTATCAGAAAATAAATAAATAAAATGAATAAAATAATGATGCAGGATAATGCAGCAGAGATAATGACCCTGTCTTCTACTCTTCTTTCTTCGCTTCTTCAAGAACAAATTCAGCATAGAGATCCTTTAAAGCAATCACAACAGTGGTGATCAATGGCCCCATGATTGCTCCCTGTGAAGAAGGAAACATAGATTCAATCATACCTAGTGGCCAACATTGAAAACAAAAACAATCTGGTAACATGATATATTTAGAGTCCTTTGAAGGATAATATCCATGTCTCGTGTCTGAGTATGCAAACGAAACAAATGTCGGATATGGATATTTGAAGGAAAATGAAGAATAGGATTAATGTAGGTTACCTCAAGTGCTGAAGGGAACAATGTCATTCCACCAATGATGCTAAGCGCTGTAAGAGTTACACTGTAACCAGGCATATTCTCTTGAATTTCAGAAGCACCATAATCCATCATCAAAATGTGAATCGTGGACAATGTCATAGCCACTATGTATCTACCATCCAGCAGTAGTTCCACAGCTGCCGGAATCGTCGCGAACCACGATGGAAATATCGGCAACAAAGGGCTAACGAGAGCAAGCATTGTTGACATATATACAAAATGTATATCAAACAGTCTGAATAGAAGCCATGTGATACATCCTTGAAAGAATGCAATCTGAGCCGTAGCCAAGAACACACCAGAAACAGCATGGTCAAGAACTTCAACACATCGAGTACGAACCGATTCCGATATCGGTATCATAGCCATGACCTGTTCTGTGACCCCACCGGATTCTGACGTGGTGAGGTAATAAAGAACCCAAAAGAACACTATTAACTGAGATAGAAAGTTCAAGACCTCAGCAGCTCCAGTGATAATGGAATTGGCAATGGTAAATATGATCTTTGCGCCACTTGTAAACACCCTTTGTGAAACATTTGCACCTTTAACAGCAAACCCTTTAGCCTTCTCAATCAAATCCAACCTTGTGATTATCAGTTCTCGGAAAATCAGATCAACCTCTGTGTAAATTTCTCCCCATTCACCGTTTCTAAGCCTCTCCCTCAACCTCAAAACCATCTCAGTGAAAGGAGAAGGGTTCATCAGAACCGTTGATTGCTCCGATGAACTATCATCCATTGATGTAATCACAAAATGCTTGATTCCAGTCACAAATTCAGTCATATTATACTGCATTGCCAAACTATCAATCTGCTCAGAAACTGTTTGATAAAACTGTGTAGAGTACTTATCCACCATTTCAGGGACATCATTCTCTTCTATCCATTGTTTAAGACCGATTTTCTCGGCATAGTTACTCTTTCGCAACCGAGATTTCACCGCAATCACAGTATCTTTTCCTTCAACACCGATCTTATACGAGAAAAATGTAGCTCCAGCAATAAACCCCACAATCATACCGATTATCAGTCCAATTGCCACAATGGAATCCAACCTTTTCAATATCCCATTTGTCAAATAAGCACTAATTGCACTTCTTCTGAACCGAGTGCTCCTAAATGATGAAACAGCAGACATTGTTGAATCCACATTTTTATTGCTAATCTTCAAACCCAACATGATGATTAACAATGACCCAACACTGCCGATTGTCTCATAGACAATTAGAAAAACAGAAAATGAGACAAGCCACTTCATTAGCTTTGAAAATATGCTCTTATTACGTCTTGAAAGCTTGGATTTTGGTCTTTTGAGAAACATCCTTAAACAAACATCCTTAATATCAACAAGGGTAACTATAAAAGCCTTAAAAACAGCAATAGGAACAGCAAGAACAGTTTCAGTGAGGCCTAATTCCAAAGGTTCTCTCCAAAATTCAACAAGGGCTTCATGAATACCTCTCAAAGGAATTGAACACAAAATTGCCCATTGAATTGTCCTAAGATACTCTTGCAAGAGCTTGCAAAGCCCGTATAAAATGCACAGAGTGAGGGCAAGACCAGCATGAGCCATGGCTATGTAAAGGGCTAAACGTACCTCGGCATCACCTGATAGGCTGTTTCTATAAAATGGGTCGGCGGCGTTTCGTGCACGGGGTGACGCGTGGGGTTCGTTTGGAGGATCGTCGTTGATTTCTTGTGGATGGGGAGACCTCCTCATTGATGCAGATCGGAACATGTCTCGCCATGGAACTAACTCCATTTTCCACGACAATTTTTTTTTAAATTAATACACACAAAGATTAAAAGAAAGTTCTTTCAGAAAGAGAAAGGGAAGAACATTAACCATTAATGATCGGAAGGTCATTCATGCAGATGTTTGTATGAGTATTATACGTGGGCAAATCCTCGAAATTCTGGCCTGAGTTTGAAAACTTTTTCGATTAACATGATTTTTAATTCGATTAATGATCATAAAATATTAACAACTTAAATCTATATGATATAATATAAATAACGGATTCCGAAATTTAAGGGTGAAATATAAAATTTTAATATTTTTTTAAAAAATAATATATATACAATTTTTTTCTTTAAAATATTAAATTAAATTTAACTACATTTTTAAAATAATGGGATCTATTTGATCTCCTAGGGAGTTTAATACATCCACCTTTATTAATATAAAAATGATCATTTGAAATAATTAAATTGTCTAGCTAAGACAACCATTATTTTTTTTAACGGAAAATAACGAGTTTAGAATAATGAATAGTCGGGTGATCATTTTGTAATTTTTAATAGTTGGAGGACACAACAAAATAGTATACTATAATCGGGGGACCATTTGTGTACGTTACCCATTTATTAATTGCTATGTCATTTGTTGTTAAAAACAATGTGTTGTTCATTTTATAAATTTTCATACGTTAGGGACTCAATAAAAGAATATCCAAAAATCAGGGGATAATTTTCATAGTTTACCTATTTTTCATTACTAAATATGGAGATGTATCTGAGGGTCAAAATCTATGATATCTATTTTCATGCGTGTGTTTTTCAAATGGGATGGATCAAAGATGAGTACAAACTTGGATGTATGTATATATGTATGTATGTATGTATATATTTGTACTACTTTTGGTGGTTGATGAAGAGTGCAGGGACACAACAGACAAAAGGGTTTAATATTTTGTCTGTGTTGAGACATTAATATTTTTCGGTAAGGCATTTTCTTAGCCGTATATTACGGTTGTCGTACAACAGAACTACCCTCAACATCCATGTTTGATCCACCGACTTCTTTTCTTCCAAATACACCGCTCCATTAATGTCATTCTCTACCAAGAATGGATTGAATAGGGTTTGCGAGTTATTTTTAAAAATTTTAAATTCTTATATAATTTAGATATTTTTATATTCTTTGTTCTTTTCTTAATAATTCATTTTTGTTCCGTAAATTTTATAAATTTATTCTTTTTACATAAAATAATGTGTTTGTTCTTACCTTACATGGGTCATTTATTTCCACCACAATTAGGGCTCTGCAAAACAAAATCTGATTTGGTTGATTTGATAAAAAAATCTGAATGTAATATCTTTTTTTTATTATCATATAATCCAAATCGAATATCTAAGAAAAATGAATAATCAGATCGATTATAAATTATCTAAAAAATCGATAAAAAATGTGTCTTTAGAGTTTAGACAACCTTTAGCCCAATAATTGAGTAACTCACCAACACATTAAAATTTTAATCCAATAAAAATTAAGATGTTTAATTATTTATTTTGTGTAAAAAAACTATATATATGTAATATGATAAAGATATAGAATATTTTGCATTAAGTCACAAAATATAAAATTATATTTAAATTTTTATCCAGTTAAATTTTATGTTCGAATCTAAATAAGTTAATATCCGTCTAAAGATTGAGATATCCAATTTTTTAGATTATATATGAATCGTATACTTTATGATGCAAATTTTAAATATGGGAAATTTTGAATCGAATAATATCTAACATTAAAAAATACACAGCCCTATTCACAATAGTTAATGACCATAGATCTCAGTATTTGTGTACATGATTAAACAAATTAATATATGATGTTTCCTTAACTCATGGTTTTCAGAACCGGATCGATTAGCGAACCGGTCATGCTATCGGTTCACTGGTTCAATCGGTCGAACCGGTCCGATCGGTCGGAAGAACCGGACGACGTCATAATTATTTAAAAAATTAAATAAAAATACTAAAAATATTTAATAAAAAATAATTTTTTATATCATAAGTTATATTCAAAGCAAGTCATAACATATATAAGTTAAAAACCATAAAATCAAGTGAAACAAAATTATTCAAATTAACTACAACATAATATTTAAGGTAAAACATATTAAATAATAAATATAATTATATAACTATAATTAAAAAATAAATTTGGGGTTAAAAAATCATAACAAAATTATATAACTATAATTATATAACTATTCTTTCACCTCAATCAAACTCGAATTTTAGGCTTCAATCGAGCTTCTAATTTTTTTTTGAGTTCAAGCCTTTTTGAGTTCAAGTTTCAATATTATATTTCGAGTTTGAGTTGAACTTGATAATTTTTAGCTTGTGAGTTTGAGTTGAGTTGAGCTTACTTTTAAAGTTTTAAAGTTTGAGTCGAGCTCAGCAATACTCGAGTTCGACTTGACTCGTTTAACAAACGACGTTGTTTGGTTTAATTTTTTTTAAAAAGAAAAACAAAAATCCCGGTTTTTTCTGGTTTTTTCCGGTTTTCAGCCGGTCCGGTTCGAACGGTTCAACGGTTCTGACCGATTCACTAATAACGGTTCAACCGATTTAAATTGAACCGAATTAAACAACAATTCTCGGTTAAATCTGTTAAACCGACCGATCCGATCCGATTTTCAGAAGAGAGCCTTAACTTCTCCGGAATCCCATGTCATCGGATTACGGAAAAGAAATTGTAAGAGATGATGACATGTGACATTGTGACATCATCACATTCACCCCTTGAACCTCACAGCTATTTATGGGGTTTGGTGTCACCCTCCCACCTAAATATCTAATCCCATTTTCTTTTTTTGAAATTTCCAATTATCACAAAACTAACTTCAGTAGGACATTTGTCTTTTCTTTTTTTTCTTTTTAAATTTTCAAATTTCATTTATCTTTTTCCTTTCTGATTTAATGCAAGACCCCATCTTTTGAAAAAAAATTGCAACTTTATCTACAAGTTTTTGTTTATATTTTGAAAATTGGGGTTTTTATATATTTCTGCCATTGTTATTGGTTCCTCCTGAAGAACATGTAGCAGAGATCCAAATAGATGCAGCTTTTGAGTGTGGGTATGGGGTTGTTGGATTTTCTGTTGAGTGCGGAAGTCAGAAAATCCATTAAACGGAAAGACAGTGATGCAGGTTCGGTTGAAAATTTCCTGGACATTTTCAGATTCATGTTTTGTCTGTGATTCTGGTTGTCTTAACATTATGATTCTTCTTCTTTTTTCTCTGGTTTTCTGAATGTTGTTTGACATTCATAATTTCTTTTATTTTGTTCAATCTGATTTGACATTCTGCAAATAAATTGATTTTCATTATCATGTCCATCGTCCATCGCTAGAGTTGTAATGGAAGACAAATGTGATTGATTTTGATCTGAATCTCTGTTAACAATATCATATTTTTTTTGGGTATAACCACATATATCATATGGATGGATCGATTAATCTGTTTAATTTACAATGTCAAATTTAAACATTTACCTTGTTTAAGAAGCATAATGCTTCATCATGTTTCGTAACAATTCCTTTTCTTCCTTGCCAGGTAAAGCATTGGAAGAGCTCAGAGGCTCCCTCTATAATGAACTTAGAACCTCAGAAGGAGCCATGTCCTTCAATTTCTTCGTTGCTGTTGCGATTATTCTGACAAACAAATTTGTTAGTTTCTTAGAATCATTAGTTTTTTTTCTTACAAAGATTTTGTATTCCGATAAATCAATAAAAGGTTTACAATATGTTCATTGAGGATCTTATACGAATCATGTTTGATTTTTCAGGTGACGGGGAGAGTTGGATTCAACTTCCCAATCTTCCTAACCCTGATACATTACATCGTATCATGGCTGTTACTAGCATTTTTCAAGGCATTGTCATGGCTTCCAGTTTCCCCTCCGTCCAAAACGACTCCTTCCTAGGCCATCTTTACGTTGGGAGCGATAATGGCTTTCGCATCCGGCCTTGCCAATACCAGCCTAAAGTATAACAGGTCTGAAGATCTGGGTTCAGATTATCGATTTCGAGAAACTGATTTGGCCATTAGTCTGATTTTCCTCACCGTTTAAGCTCATTTTTTGCAGTGTTGGTTTCGACCAAATGGCTAAAATTGCGGTCACTCCTACAATTGTTCTCGCAGAGTTCATTCTTTTTAGGAAAACTGTATCTTTCAAAAAGGTGACTGATAGTTCTTAGATGAACAGAACACTCTTCGGTTCTTTCTGATTTTCTGGTTCTTATTGAATCTCCATCATTATGCAGGTATTGGCTCTGGCGGTTGTTTCGGCAGGTGTCGCGGTGGCCACCTTAAGGGATTTAGAGTTCAATGCTTTTGGAGCGTGTATCGCCATCGCATGGATACTCCCGAGTGCTATAAACAAGATTTTGTGGTCTAATTTACAACAAGCAAACTGGACTGCACTTGCGTAAGTCACAAGTAATTCAGCATGTTGTGTTGTTCTTTACTTGTGCTGAGAAGAATTGTGTGAAATGTAGGCTGATGTGGAAGACAACACCAATCACAATTTTCTTCTTAGTAGCATTGATCAGGGTTTTAAATCGCGGTCGATGTCGTGTTTTCGGTTATTTTGGATTTACTGTGATTGCGGCCGTCGCGGGTAACTCGGACGGCGGCGAAACCGCTATATCGCGGTCGCGGACCGTTTTTTAAAACCCTGGCATTGATGCCATGGTTGGATCCGCCTGGAGTTGTGTTGTTCAAATGGAACGTAAACAATGTTTCTGCAATTCTCGTATCGGCATTGCTTGGTTTTCTCTTACAATGGTCTGGTGCACTGGCATTAGGGTAAGTTTCCGGTACACCTTTTCAATTCTGACTCAAACTTTAAATGATCTTAACCCGAATAATCCAAACAAGTAACCTATAGTTGATTTGAACACGAAGCGAATATTATCCAAAATGATCCGGTCCTATAATAATAACTCTAAATTCAACTGATTTGATCCAAATTAATTCGATCCAAAACCAACAGAACCGCCCAATCAACAGGTCTGGAAGAGAACCTAATTTTTTTATGGTAATCTGTCTGCTTGTTGGGACTTTGGTTTGAAACAAACCAATTGAAGGCTAATGGTTTTTTTTGGGTATTTTCTTGTAGAGCAACTTCTGCAACATCTCATGTTGTTTTAGGACAATTCAAAACTTGCGTGATACTTCTTGGAGGATACCTTCTTCTGGATTCTGATCCGGGGCTTGTGAGCCTTTCTGGCACCATTGTTGCACTCGCTGGGATGTCGGTTTACACGTTACTTAACTTGAAAGAATCAAAGGAGGGATCAAATAAGCAGATTCCAATGCAAAATCCTGTATCAAAAACAAAAACCAGTGAAAATGGCAATGAATGCGCATCAGTAATAAATACTACAAATGAAGTGTAAAAATATACGAGAAGAGATCGTATAGGCAATGAAACAAAGACCCAATCAAGTTTCAATATTCTTTTCTTTAATATGTATATCAACCAAATATTGAATTTGTTTTAATCAGTGCTTTGAAATTGAATTTCATAGGAAAATTGTGTCTACAATATGCGTGTATGCGCTCATAATATGCGTGTATGCGCTCATTATCAATTGACAAAGAAAATTTTGGTCAAATATTACTTTGTCAAATGAAAGAAATTAGGCAGCATTTCATTGAATATGAGCATCAGTCAATTAAAAGGAAACTAGAAACTAGGAACTTGCAAAACACCAATTACAGGTTGTATCAACTTTCCTCCCTAATCAAAATTTAATATACAGGTGAAATAATTGAAAGGAAAATTTGGTGAAATCCCACCTAATCTATCAATCCATCTATTGAAATCCCTTCTAATCAGGCATCTTAAGAGAATAATAAGTCCCAAAAAGAACTTATTTCCCCACCAGACATATATATGAGATGGCTTTAATATTTACAACCACAAAAAACAGTTCAGAGTTTCACCCGTTCCTAAGTCCCTCCATGTATTCTCTGTCGGGAAAGATTTCAAGGGTTCAGTAATTAGTGTTCCAATCGATTTGTGCAAGTTGAGGCTGCTGATAAGCACCGGATGCAGGGACTTTGGCTTCTGCAGCTGCCATGGGTTGAGGCTGTTGAAGCAGTGCATTAGCATTAGGAGCAGCTGGTGCTTGTGATGATTGATAAAGTCCAGCAATGGCACCATGACCGGCCTGTGCAGGAGAGAAAGGAAGATGTTGGCCGAGAAGGGAGACATTGTACAACGGATTAACCAGCAAGTTAGATAAATTTTGCCCCGGTGCAGCCATCCAGATATCCGAACCTTCATTCTGCAAAAACAATATACATCCAAAGCATTGTGTTAAAAAAACGTGATTGCTAATGAAAACACTAAGAAAATAGAACATTAAACAATGCATATAAGCTAAAAGTAAAGCCCCGCAATCACCATAAAATGTCTACAACCCAAACCACCAAACTCGAACACAGAATGACCTAGACACCTGAATGACCTTAACTCGAGATGACCTGGAAAGCCCAAATGACTTGAATCCAAAAATGATCTTTAAACAAAATGAACTAGAATTTTAAAACCCAAATTGACCTAATTCGAAACCGACCCAGCAATTGACAGGTTTATATAGAAGGAAATGGAAAGCAAAACTAACCAATGGTCCACTTGTATATATATGATTTTCTTTCAAATGCGATACTGTAAGATCCTCCTTGCCACTAGAGTTTCCGGAGGTCACTGATGGGACAGATAAATTGAAACCAACAGGTGGAGTCAATGGACCATAGCCTGATGGAATTGTGAAGTGAGCAGGGTTTCCAGCATTAGTTCCGGGCTTGAACTGTGGAAGCGGGAACTTGACCCCAGGTGCAGCTGCTCCAGGCGGCATGTATAGATTACCAGCAGGCGGTTGCTGAGGGAGCCCGGTCAGGTTCAAATATTGATGCATTGCATGCATATAAAAAGGATGAAGATAGTGGGGATAAGGGAAGTAATTAGGAGGAAATGGCTGATGGAAAAGGTGAACTGCTTGTAGGGCTGCAGCAACAGAGCTCTGAATAGGTGGTGTTGAAGTACCAGATGGAACTGAAGAATTCCCAGCCTGCAAGTTTGACAAATCAAGGTAAAATGCACGTATACTAGCGTAAAGCATAGGCTAAAAATTAATTGCACTATTGACAAGGAAAAACAGTACAAGTAGTTTTATGAAATTCATAGGAGTGTGATAACCTTTCTTGTCATATTCCACGCTACTTAAGCCTCAAAGGTAAACTGAGGAAAACACATACTATAAGCCACCTAAGGAGATGCTAGGAATCAAAATTTAACAATGTAATCAATTAATTCAGAAAATATGATGGTTAATAGGAAGAAGGAAGTGCTTACAGAAAAGTTTGCAAGGTGAGAAACATCATGTGCCCAAGCCTCGGGTCCATCAAACTGTGGTAGGTGACTTGTGGATGCAGGCATTAAACCAAATCCATAGCTAGGGGCATTTGGAATGGCACACTGATTACCTTCAGGGTGCAAATTCACTTCTGGATTTGACTGATCAACTTTCAACTCTGCATCAGAAGAACTATTGCCTTCTGGTTCTGGCACTTTCTCCAACTCCGGAGGAGATTGCAGTTGAGCATTTTCCCCTTCCAGTGTTGATAGCATACCTTTGCTTCTGCAGAAATCATAAAAAGCTTGATAAGATATAAAATATTAAAAAACATATTAGATAACTAGGAATACTGCTTAGAGGTCCCCAACCTTTAGCTTTATATACCATTTGCAATCAGGCAGTCGCATTTATAAACTATAATATTTATCCAATATGTTTAATCCCACCAATAGATACAACCAAAAACTATTCTTTTGACTCTTAAATAATTGAATGGCAAAGCATTAGGCCTTGATCAACTAAAGAAGAAGTTACAAACAACATACCACCAACACATCAAAACTAATTGATGAGATAAATGAAATAATTTTGAACCATTAGATAAATTTCTAGAAGGAAAACAATAAACCAAACAAAATATGAAGTTCAGAAACTATTGTTTACCAACCTAGAAGATGGCTCTCTGGCAGGCTCATCACTACCCATAGAAGTTACAACAGGGCATCCAGAGGTAATCTCCGCACTAGTGACATTATTGTGTTTTGTTCCCAGACCAAAACTAGCATCAAAGCTTCCAAAAGTTAAACCATTTTCAGAGACTTGGAAGTGGGTGGGAAAAGTAACATGATGACTGTTGGAAGCATTTGAATCAGCAAGCAATTGAGAATTGGCTTTAACAGTCAGAGTTGCAACCTCAGATGTGACAACTGTTTCACAGAAAAGAGCAAAGTGAAAAATCTACAATTTTTTTTTTAAAAGAAGAGCGAACAAAGGAGGTAATACCTTCTAGCAAGGTGGACTCTATAGGTTTGGATTGCTTAACTTGTTCAGCAGCCTTTGATTTGTCGGGTGTCTTATTTCCATGCATCGCGATAGGAACCTCGGAGGATGTTTTCTCAGTTTTTGATACATTAATATCATCAGGAACATGTTTGTTTCCTTGAATATTGATTATTTCAGCAGCTTCCCTCTGGCGTCCAATTTCACTTTTCATTGTACCCACCGTACCAGCATGGTATGACACGGTTGGCACCACCACAGGATCTGAAGAAGATGAATAGACACCAGACACAATTGTGGAAGTGGAAGAAGATAATGAACCATTAGAATTTGATGCGGACTTCTCTTGACCTCTGATCAAAGAGACAAAGGATGGAGCAGGAATGGTAGCAGAAGGTTCAACAACATCTGGTTGCACTGAAATAGCTGTTGGCTTGTTTGCAGGTAAGCCATCTTTAGTTTCACCATTAACAACATTGGCAGAAAATTGGGATCCATGACTGGAGCTCCCATTTGGTAAAGTTGTATAGCCATTTGTTATAGCAGCTGTTGTTCTGTAAAAGAGCAGAACAAAATATTTAGGTAAGGTATAATACCATTCTCTATAAGTAACCAATTAGCAAGCACATGAAAGTCATTTAAATGTGCATGTTTACTTCTTTGTGTGAGAAGCTGCATTATTTTCCACTTTCCGATTCTCCCTTCGAGCAGATGCATTCCTTGCACCTCCAGCATCTTAAAAGAACAAAGCTTGTCAAATTAGCAACTTACATATTAGTAAATGGGTAATATTAGTGTACAGAGATGCATAAAGGAGAAGAAAAAAATAATACTTTTACCAAAAGATGTGTGATAGTTCCCTCGACTGCCCTGGCCCCCTCTTCCTTGTACACCAGCTTTCTGCATATAAGAAGAACTGAATTGTGATTAACATTTAACTAAGCTAAAGAAAACAAAATCCCAACTAAAAATAACTCAGTTGTAATTAACATTTAACTAAGCTAACGAAAGCAAATTGCAACTAAAAATTTAAGTAATACAAGCACATTACAGCAGTTGAGCCTTTTTTATGTTTCTTATTTTTTCCATAATTGATACCAAGCAAACATCCAATAAACCACAATTCTATATAACCAATAGATTCAACAATGATCAAAATTGTAACAGTATGTAGAAAGGATTCAAGATAAAAATGAAGAGGAGTTCTATTTTCACCCATTAGAAAGGAAAATACCACTTGCCTCCTTTTTCTTATCACGTTTTCTTTTCACCTCATGAAATGTATCTGCAACCAAGAAATATAACCGTCATATATTGTATATACTTTCAAAAACAAAGTAAACCATAAGAAACATTAAGCAAAGACAAAGCTATTCACCAGCTATGGCTTTTTTACACATTTGCATGCAAATCATCAACCGTTATAGAAATGCCAGGTTTTTTTAACAAAAATAAATCTCTATCTTATCGCAAATCAGCAAAGCAATGATGAAAATTTAGAACTTCAACTTTGAGAATAAGAACCTCCAATCACTCAGATAAATATTGAAAATGAGAACAAATTAATTAGCTGCCCATTATAGCTGATAAATCAAAACAAAGCATACAGGTTATTAAACTTCTTACATCCACTGTCATCTCCCAGTAACCAAACAACAGATATCCTACGAAAAACAAAACCAGGTCCAAACTTCACTTCTCCATTAGCAAAAGGCAGAAAGACAAGCCAAGCTTTCCATAAAAATCCCATAAAAAGAAAATAAAATCCACTTTTCATTAGCAGAAACATGAGAAAGCTTGAAAATCCGAACGTTCTCAACAGAAAACAAACAAAAAACAGAGAGAGAGGAAACAGATCATAAACCCATCAGACCCTAGAAACCGGAAAACCAGCAAGAAAAAACAGCACAACGATAAATATTTAAATCTCCATTCTTACCCAGATGAAGAAGCTTTTGGGCAGTTTCATTAGGATCCATAAAGCACTCCTTGAGGACTGCATAGATTTCTTCATCGCTGTGTTGCTTCCCTGTGATCTCCCTAATGCTTTGGATCGTTTTCTTTGCATTTTCAGGGATCGAAAATCTAGACCCGCCACCAGCGCCGCCAACGCCACCTTGGCTGCTCATGGTAACAAGGAAGGAAAAAGAGAAGAAAGGAGGAAACGGAAGAAGGAAGCAAAAATTGAATGTGCTATGTATGTATATTTAGAACAATATCTAGGGCATAAATCTTGAAAGAGATGAACAATAACAGTGAGAAAATATTATATATTTTTTTCTTTATGGGAGTCGAAAGAGAGCATGCTTAAATTGTCTACATATATAGCCACCGAAAACAGGTTACTACCCAATAAATTAACACCCTTTTAGCCAATAAGGTTTCATCTTTCCGGCATCAATTTCTTATCTTAAATTATTTATTTTCTAAAATTAATTTTAGGTGATTATAAATTGTATGTTTTTAATATAAACGGAGAGTTTTATTAAAAATAAAAGATATTTAAATTAGAATGAAAATATATAATCATAATAAACTAAACATGTAATTAATACATTTTTCTATAATTATTGACATAAAAAATTAAATTATTTAATATTATACAATAACTATATTAAGAAAATATTAAAAAATAATTAAATAAACTCGAATGAAATATATATAAGAAAAAATATGATCACATCAGTAAACGTATCACAAAAATAGATTAAACTATTGAAAGACCATCGGCAAACCACAAATCATAATTAAATGAGGTGAGAAAACTATCTACAAATTCATATCCGAATCCAATTTTATGGTCTAAAGATCAATGTGATAATAAATTAACGTCATCTTAATCAGACATGACGATATCAAATCTAAACATAAAAAAAATGATAATACGAAAATAACAATCAAATAACAAAAATTATCAAAAAGCAGAAAAAAATAATCAACGACCAACATCAAGGTTAGTACATCATTAGTCACAAAGATAAATAAAATTTTCATTATATATATAGATTTAAGATCTATCTATTTATATAATATTTATAAATTACACTGCCGAGTTAAGTCGTTGGCTTCAAGGTCCTCCCTCAAACTCGTTACTGTCTCATCTTATTCAATTGCCGGCAGTCTAATAAACTCGGTGACTCGGCGAGTTTAATCAATCACACAAAATGGTGGCCGAGTTGAAGTACGAGATCTCACAGAACGCTTACATCAAGTTGGTTCTACATGCTCTGAAGCACAAAACCACGGCGGTCAACGGCGTCTTACTTGGCCGTGTCAACCCGCAAAATGAAAGCGTCGTTGAGATCATTGACTCGGTCCCTCTATTTCACTCTAATCTTGCTTTGTTGCCTCCTCTCGAGATCGCCCTCATCATGGTATCAATATTCTATTTTTTAGGGTTAAGTATATTTATATATATTTCTCTTATTCATTCAATAAATTTTCCCTTGGAACTCTTAGTTTGAAAAACCAGAGGTATGATGGTTTAATTATTTGGTTTTGATCACAGATTCATTTAATCATGGTATCAATTGTGTTTTTATAAACTATTCTCTTTGCAATTTGAAACTGATATATATATATGCATTTAGAAGTGTTCTGATAGGTTGGTTTTGATCAGATAGAGGAACATTATGGATCCAAGGGCTTGGGAATTGTGGGCTATTTCCATGCAAATGAGAGGTTTGATGATGCAGAGCTAGGCATTGTGGCAAAGAATATAGGTGATCATATTTTTCGGTACTTTCCCCAAGCTGCTGTTTTATTGGTATGTATTTTATTGTTCTGCTAATAGCTAATTGAATATATGCATGTGTGTTATTATATGCTGCTTTGGTGGTCATGGCTATTGGCTATGTCTCAGGTTTGTGATTTTCTTTTTTGTAGTTGGATAACAAAAAGCTTGCAGCTTTGCCAAAGGGGAAAGACCAAAGTCCTGTAATGCAGGTGTGTGTTGTTATGTTTTAAGTTTTAAGTGTCACTTTCTTGTTTTCGATTGATATGGGGGAAGTGATGGGGTAAGATTCCACCTATGATACTCAGAATTGGGTATGAGGTGTCGGATATGGGTATATTTCTGACACAATATGGTCAGTCTTGTTTAAAATTTTCCATAAATTTGGAGGGTCCTTCGTGGGTCATATTTTCCACTGCCTAGGAGATACTATTTATCTGTGGTAATTAGTCAGAAAATTAGCACAATTGCAGTGGGGAGAAAAGTTTAAGGCGGAAAATCACTATATACAGGTCAATAGGATTTCTGGCATTAGTTCTATCTGAGAACATACTGGTATAGGAGTTAAAATCAAAAGCTTATAGGTGTGTCTTAAGGTTTCTGTTGCTTTGTATATGCAATGTAAGTTTCTTTTTTGGCTTGCTTCCCATGGTTGGAGGTGTCGAAATCATATTCCGAGTACATGGATAACCTCGGGGTTTCGTATATTTGGTTTATGTATCAGTCTGTTTCGTAGACATATAGCTGTACCAACAGTATAGGCTGCAAATACAATTGCTATTCCCGATTCCAAGGTATAATTCTACATCTCTCTCTATCAGAATCAAGGTACTTGATAGGAGCAAGGGCTCATTGCTTTTTTCAACATCAGTTCTTGGATTCATATTTGAATCATTCAAATGCCCCCTCTCCCTCTCCCCATTAATGTGAAACTGTTTTATTTTGCATCAAATTTTGTAGTGGCCACCAGATATTGTGCATTAGTTGGCCTCCAATAGCTATTTTAAGTCCAAATTAGATCTTTTGAAATTTACTTTCAGTTCAACTCATATTGTTCATTAGTTACAGCATATGGCCTCTGATGGATACTGTTTTAAGTCCAAATAGATCTTTTGAAATTTACTTTCGATTCAACTCTGTCATTTTGAGGTGTTTTCCTTCAAAAGTTTTGGATCTGTAATGTATTCACGGTCCTATAACCTATACAATGCCTTTTTCTGATGGAAATATTCTCCTTGTCATGCATAAGCTTTATATAAGGGATGCATCCAAGAATTGGAAACTGGCTGGACCAGATGGAGGCAGCCGATTGGTAATTAAGGAACCAGCAGCTAATGTTGTTTTGTCGGATTATATTTCATCTGAAAAATGGCAGGATGTTGTAGATTTCGATGACCACCTCGACGACATTAAGATGTAATCCCCACATTCTTGTCTTCTCTTATGTTCTAATAGAGCAAGATTTTACATGTTGATCTTTCTGATTGCAGGGACTGGCTTAATCTGGAACTCTTCAAATAAGATCCTTTGATGGGCAACTTGAAGTAGGCAATAAATTCTAGAAACCATTGGAGATTTTGTTAAGATGTATTAATCGGGCATCGGTTATAGAATTCGTGAAGATGCGATCGTCATTGCTTAAGCAAAACATGAGCATTTTAAGGTCATTAGCTACAAATTTGTCAGTGGAATGCAGAGCCATTCTGTTTTTAGTTTATTGCAATTCCTTTGTCTTTTTTAAGTTTTTTCAATAATCTAGTGATTGGGTTTTGACATTGAGGTTGTTAATGGATTATGAACGTATTGACCATTTCATTTCAGAAAGGCCTAAAATACCATTTTCCTGCAGTCTTGATGAGGTCATGGATGAACCTCTTTTCATGGCCATTCCTTGAAAATACCTCTTAGTTGGGTGGGTCAAGTTGGTCTTGGATCAGGTCAATATGGGTTAGGGTTATTTTGGTTTTGGATCATTCTTGTTAGTTTTGAGTTCGAATCATTTTATGTTCAAGGTGTTTTCATTTGAATTGTTTTAGGTTCGGATTATTTTACATTATTTCGGATTTCTTGTTCAGATATTTTTAGCTTGGATCATTCAGTTTCAAATTAGATGGATTAGAATGTTAAATTTTTATGATCAAATTACTTTAGATCAAGTTCGGATCATTTTCAGGTTCGGTTTTTGGTGGTTGGATCAGAGTTGATTAGAGAGGAATATTTGATTCGAGTATGATGGATATTGATTCGACCTTAGATTTTTTATTTTTGAAAATTTTAATTCGGGTAATCAATTTTTTTCCTATATTAATCCCACTATTTTATTGTCGCAAGTATCTCTTTGGATTAAAGGAAGCGAAAATTTTACCAATCATTCTAAAACAACGAACTTGGGTGGCTAAATCTAAACAATCCTTGTCTTGAGCCAATTGGAGAAAGAAATGAAAATCACCATGTCTTCTTCGCTTCATTCTCTCCCTTCACCAGCTCAAACCCTTGTCTCCAACTTCAATTCTCCATTAGAGCTGAAGCAAGCTCATGCCCATCTCATTAAAACCAACTCTCCTCTCTCTCTCATCCCTCCCTCTCGAGTCGCTTCCGTTTGTGCTTTATCTCTCGCTGATGTCTCTTACGCCCATCGACTTCTCACCCATTTCCCTCAACCCCAAATCGTTGTTTGGAACTCTTGCTTAAAAACTTTAGCTGAAAGTGACTCCCCTTTTGATGCTATCGTTTTGTTTTGTCGTTTACGTGACCTCGATGTTGTTCCCGATAGTTTCACCTGCGCTTTCGTTCTCAAAGCTTGCACGGCTTTGTTGGATGATAAAAATGGTAAGATCGTTCATGGGGTTATCGAGAAACTTGGGTTTCATTGGAACTTGGTTTTACAAAATATGATTTTGAACTTGTATGGATTGTGCGGAGAAATGAGTACTGCTCGGTTGGTGTTCGATAAAATGCCCCAACGAGATGTTGTCAGTTGGAATGTTATGATTACCCATTTAGTGAAAAGCGGAGATTTCGAGGGTGCTTACAGGTTATTTTCCTGTATGCCAGAGAGAAATGTGAGGTCGTGGACAATGATGATTTCCTCGTGTGTTCACAACGGGAAGCCCAGGGAAGGGGTTGAATTGTTTATGGAGATGGAGAAGATTGGAGTGCAGGCTAATGAGATCACTGTAGTGGCTGTTCTTTCAGCTTGTGCTGATTTGGGTGCACTTGACTTGGGAAAGAGAGTCCATGAATACTCCAAAAGAAGTGGATTTGGAAGGAATGTTAGAGTTTTGAATACTTTGATTGATATGTATGTGAAATGTGGTTGCTTGGAGGAAGCTAGAACAGTTTTCGAGGAGATGGAGGAACGAACAGTAGTGTCATGGTCGGCTATGATACAAGGGCTTGCAATCCATGGACAAGCTCAGGAAGCTCTAAGGGTTTTCTCAATGATGATTGAAACGGGGATGATGCCTAATGGGGTGACCTTTATTGGACTCTTGCATGCATGTAGTCACATGGGGCTGGTTGATGAAGGTCGTCGGTTCTTTTCCGGCATGACTAGAGACTACGGTATTATACCCGAGATTGAACATTATGGCTGCATGGTTGATCTTTATAGCCGAGCAGGGCTTCTTCAAGAAGCCCACGAGTTCATAATGAATATGCCTCTAAAACCGAATGGAGTTGTATGGGGAGCTCTCCTTGGTGGATGCAAGGTTCATAAAAACATTGAACTAGCTGAGGAAGCTACTAGACATCTTGCTCGACTCGATCCTCTTAATGATGGATACTACATTGTTTTATCTAATATCTATGCTGAAGCTGAAAGGTGGGAAGATGCAGTAAGAGTAAGGAAGCTAATGAAAAACCGTGGCGTGAAGAAGACGCCAGGGTGTAGTTCGATCATGGTCGATGGAGTCATTCATGAATTTGTTGCTGGGGATGATTCACATTCTCAAGCTATTGAAATATTTGATATGTGGGAAAAACTAGTGGATCACATGAGGCAAAGAGGATATAAACCGGACACATCGGTTGTTCTATTGGATGTAGAAGAGAAAGAGAAGGAGAAGTTTCTATATCGCCATAGCGAAAAATTAGCACTCTGTTTTGGACTGATAAACACACCTCCTGGATCACTGATTAGGATAATGAAGAACCTCCGAGTTTGTGAAGACTGTCATGCAGCTTTCAAATTGATATCATCAATTGTTAATAGGGAAATTGTTGTTCGTGACCGGAATCGTTTCCATTGTTTCAAAGACGGTGCTTGCTCTTGCCAGGGTTACTGGTAAGCAGTTCAAAAACATTATTATGAACTATGTAGCCTGCAATAACTTTTTACAAAATTGATATATGTATAAAAGAAAGAATTTCGGTAGTTTAATATATGTAAAACATGATATATTGGATATAATGATATGGATCTTCAATCTTTGATAAGCAAAGACATTAACAATCTATTTCTTCCCTTTGTAACTTAAAACAAATTTCGTGTTTTTCTTATTACCAAAAAGATCAAGGGCTTGATTAAAGAATTGGGCACCCTTCGGCTTATTATCTCTGGAGATGTAGGGCAATGTGATAAAGGACAATGATTACTGGTTTCCAAGCCCCAACATTCTGATCCATTGGGACTATCAATGGCTTGTAAAGGGAATATGAGTACTCCCTTGAAACCAATCCCAATATCTACGGGAGCTGCAGTTATGTCTTTCCCACCATCCTATGTGCCCAAAGTCGAGTCAAGTCGATTTTGAGTATTGTTGAGTTTGACTCGATTCCGAAAGTTCAAAGTTGAACTCGACTCGACTCAATCACTCACGAGGTTAAAATTTTCAAGCTCAACTTGAACTCAAAATAAAAAGTTGTAATTCGACTCGAGCGTGAAAAAGCTTGAACTTGAAACATTCTCAAACTTAGCTTGATTGGAGCTTGAATTAGAGATCAATTCAATCTCGAACTCAAACTTTAACCTTAAGTTGCCCGCGAACTTTTGAGTGGGGTATTAAGTAACTTTCTTCGGCTCGTTACGAACTCTAGTAGATTCCATTCAATTCAAGTGTTGACCAAATTTTGATCTAATCAAACTCGAATAACTTATGATATATCTCAACTCATTTATAGCTCTACTTGTACGATGTGCCTTTTATAAACGTACCAATTAAAAATGTTTCCATGTCAGTCATCCTTAATTTTTCTAGTTGAGTCAGTATGACGTTTTTACACGGCAGTTAAATCAGCATTCACTACCATTGATTGATTTTTTTAGGTTTACTCAGCTTGACTGATCTCGAAACTTACGCTATTGATATCAAGTTGTCACGTTTATGATTAAGAATTTAAGAAATTAAATTGATAATGGAAGAAAGGTTACAAAGAAGAAGAAATGTAGAATAGAGAATAAGAATTTCATTCACAATGCATCATAATTCATAGATTTTTTAGTACAGGTTTTACTCTCTCCCAATGCTTTGCTTTCTATCAACTGATTCCAGCCTTCAATCCCTAATTCCCTTTTTCTAAGCCTTAATTCCTTCAATTCATTTGTGATCATCCTCAATTCTCCTTGTCCCAACTTTAATTCCTAAGCCTCATTGGTGACACATTGTTGAGAACTTTGTATCTCTTGAAAACCAGACCCAAATATCTCATGAACTTGTATGTCCTTCACAGTCATGGCTAAAGATTCTTCGGTGCATCATCATATACGTCCTCAATATTAGATTCTTCTGCAGAGTAAAAACTGTTGTCGGATTCATAATTCATATTGAATCATGATGAATTAAATCCAGAGGGAAAATCTACTGACAACTTGGATTGTCTCAAAATCTCAGTTGAAACACATGTACTAAGCAAGCATTTAGTTAAAGAACAATTATGGCCTTCCCAATCATCTGTAATTCCCTCTGGACTCTGCTTCATTGTTTGCTTCCCTTTTCACCACTAATCATTTCTGTTAGAGTTACATAAAGAATAACGATAAACAAAAAAATAAAAACGAGACACATTTTTATGTGAAGACTGAAGAATCGTTAGAGTAAAGAACAAAGAACAAAGGACATAAATTCACGAAAATATCAAAATTACAAGAGATTTATGAGTACTAGACCTTTTCCACTTCTAAGACTTAATCAGTAACACTAATCCTTCTATCTATTTATAGAGTTAATTACTTGACGGGAAAGAAATCTTACATTACAATGACTATTCTCCAATATCAATTCCTAGTTTCAATAAAAAGAAATCTTACACCCCAGCCAAGTTCGACCTGAGAGCCTCTACATCCACTACAAATTCCATTTTTTTCTCTCAATTTTATTTCTTCACTACACAGGTCGCCACGGAATTCAGGTCACAAACTCAGTTGGTATCTTCATTCCCCCATAGTATCATATTTAAAAAGTCAAAGCTTAATCTCTAGGTTTTTGCTAAGTTATACAGCAAAATCTACAGATGAGAGTGAGAGTTCAAACAGAGCAAACACCTACCCTGTTGTAAAAGCAGATGTTATTATAACAAAAATCAGTCTCAGACAAAAACACTCTTTGTAATTAACTCTTGAACGAATTTCCCTTTTTTATGTTGATTTTTTTAGGTAAAAGGAAAAGAAAAAAAAATCTGCACTTCCAGTTTTAATATTTACAACGTAGAACTAAAGGTTTTATTTTCTCTAAAAATGGTATAGCACCTTCTAAAATGACGAGCAATTTTATATGAAGAGCAAGTTGGATGTCATCCTGGTTGATTATCATTGATTAAAGCACTCCATTTTCTACCACAGGTCATTCACAAGTTGAAACTTCAATATGAACAATGGCAGAAAAATATGGTAATATCAGAGATGAAATACCTGTGCCTCTAATGTTGTGGGCTGGGTTAAGTTCTTCTGGGATATAAGATACATGAACACCACATTTCTCCACCTTACAACACTCTTTCATGTAAACGTAGAATTTAAATGAAGCCTCCTCAAAACCCTCGTCTTTTCTAATCATATTGCTGCTAAACAGAATAAACACGTGATCACCCACGTACTCATGCTTTTTCTGAAAATCTAGCTCATTGGACCACCCAGTGGTATAGTGATAACGGTGACTACCATCGGCGGCTGTCAATTTTAAGGAACATTCAAAATCTACACTTTTTGAGGCAGGCGTGAGATCAGCCACAAGGAAGATAGAAAATACCATGTATCTGCACCTGTTCGGCTCTATCTTCAAATTTAATGAAGAGTTCACACTCTGATACTCGAACTTACTTGTTGAAATTTCGTTTCCTGGGAAACAACAAATCATTTTTTTTGGACCATAAACATATTTTCCAGTCCATTTCTCTGCCATGGATCCAATTTTGAGCATGGCATTTTCCACGATGTTATCAATTGAATCTTGCTTCAAGCTCAAGCAATTCGAGAATATCATGAAAAAGTCATCATTGTCATCAAAAGAACAGGGCTCATAAAGATGTTGATTCTGATTCGTGAATGATACTTTTTCTAATGACGTACAGCCATGTGCGTTCAAGTACCGTAGATACAGCGGAAGCTCTGAGAGCAATTCGAGACTCTTGCAATAATCAACTTTCAAATATCCAAGGCTCAAGATTGATGAGGGCACATCAACTGTTGAAGTCTCGCTCAAACCAGGGAGGTCAACATTGCAGTGTAGCTTTTGAATACTTGAGCCCCTCATATCCAAGTACTGAAGATTAATTAATGAGTAGGAAGACAGGGACACTTGCTGAATTTGGGTCTCAGATAAGTATAACTCTTTTAAGCTTCTAGGGATTTCTGGAAAATTGGTGATCGGGCAATGACTAAGATCCAGACAATGAAGGGATTCCAACTTCAAAATATTGTTCGACACATTTTTAACACTCGAGTTTCTCAAGCATAACTTTCTAAGTCGAACGAGATGCTCAATTGAACCGGGAACTTCCTCTATACCAGTTTCTTCTAAACACTGCAAAGTGAAATGATTTGGGATCTCGGGAAACTTCTTGAGTTTATGACATCCCTGAAGCTCAAGTGTTTTAAGAGATGACAAATGATTGAGGCAAGGAAGTTCAACCAAACTTTCACACCCCCTACAGCAAAGGATTTCAAGGTGGATGGCTCCCAACAGGTTAGGAACCTTCCTTAAATTCTTGCAATGAGAAAGGTTAATTTCCCTTAAATTTGTAAGACCCTGTGCAATGAAAATAGCTATATTACTCCCAAGCATAGTCTACTTCAGATGATAATGAAAATGAAAAGAAAAAAATAATTACAACACTAACAACATAAAAGATTTATATTTGATAATAGATCAAATGATGTTGTTTCTTTTTTAAAAAGAACTATCTTTATTGTTGGGAACTTTTGAGATACCATCATATGATCCGTTAATAAATCAATTATACATACTTTTTCTAGAACAAAAGAAATCTTGAAAGAAGAAAGCATGAAAGAATATACCTGATGATCATCTTCATTCCAAAGTTGTTCTATGTCGCTATATGGTAATTTCAACACAAGAAAATTCTTTGGATTAAAACTTGATGATAAATATTTAAATGGGTAATACTCCCAATGGAGAAACCTTATCTCATAAGGAAGAGATAAAAAACCAACTTGGTTTGCATGTAGCTTCTTGTACTTCCCAACACTAAATGGAGGAAAATAGAAGTTAATATATCTAAGATTATGCATCTTGTCAAAAACAGTAGGACAAAACTTAAGATCACCAATCTGAGACATGTCTAACTTCATTCCTTCAATTCGATCAGTCCCCTAATAACAAAAGCAGTTCATCAAGTATTAGCATAGAGAAATTTATGTCATAATCTGATTCACTTATAGTGTATAAAACATGCACGATTAATAAATTAAATATAAACATCAAATATAAAATCTAATTGAAGTCGCACAAATATATATATATATAAAAGGATATAAATATAATTAGAGCTTACTTTGTTATGTATGAGCACTTGAGACACGTCTTCGGGAATCCATAACCTGCTGCGCTTTCCAAGGTCTTTAGATTCTTGACGAACAATGTTCTTTCCCATCTCTTCAACCATATCATGCATAGAAATAGATTGATCGAGGAAGTTGGTTATTCTGTCCCCTACGATCCTACAATGGCTAGTTGTCAACCAAGAATTTTTTAGTTGGCGATGCTTTCTCATGATTTCTTCCTTTCGAAACATTTCATTTATAGGGATATCTTTTACAGGTGATATATCAAGTAGATGCTTGTCCACCAAGTTGGTTATTCCACATACTGCACCCTTATAAAAGCAGCTTAGAATTTCTTCTACATTTTGCATAGGTTCCCCTTTAAAGAAGCATGCCATATCGAGAAATATATTATTCTCTAGCTCATCCAGTCCATCAAAGCTACTCTTCAAAATTTGAGAAATTTCTGGCTGGCCGTACTCCTTTAGCTTATCCATCTCACTTTCCCACTCTTTCCTAGACTTTTTATATAGTTTAGAACCCAAAACTTTAAGAGCAAGTGGATTCCCTTGGGCGTACTCCAGAAACTTGTTTGACAGATCTCGAAAATCAACATCAGGATTCAACTGCTTAAATGCAAATGTAGAGAAAAGTTGAAGAGAGTCGTCCACGTTTAACTTCTTCACCTCGTGTATTTTGTCAACTCCTACATTTTTGAGTACTTGTCTATCTCTAGATGTTACAATGATCTTACTTCCATCACGAAAATGTCTAACACCCATTAAATCAATTTGGTCTGGGTGACTAACATCATCAAGGACAACAGCTACTCTCAAATTGTTCAGCCTCTCTTGGTAAGGGGATCCTATTGAAGGGGTGTCTATACGGATTTCTTTCTCGTTTAATAGTTTGGAAAGAAGTTCATTTCGTAACGACTCCCTCCCTTGCTTTTTTATTTTCTCACTAACATTTTGAAGAAAGAAACTAGCTCGAAACTCTGGGGAGATTCCTTTGTATACAGAATCAGCAAGGGTAGATTTGCCTATACCACCCATTCCCCATAGTCCTATTACACGAGAGTCTTTCTGATTAATCAGATCCAAAATCATCTTTCTCTGATAATCTATTCCAACTAGTCCTTCAGAAGCACTTCTAGACATTTTATTCATCAATTTCTTTGTAACATCGTCAACAATCTTCTCGATGTACTCAGTTTCAGGTCTAGAAGAACATCAAAATATATGTTTATATATACAATCATATATGAAATCAAAATTAAAGAGAGAATGAGAAAAATATATATAGTTTTACCTGTCGACTTTGCCACCTTTTATATGCCATCCCGGAATTTCACCGACTTTAGCGAAGGCATCTTTCCATCGCTTCACTTGATCAATTGGTCTGTTCTTCTCATGCTTTTCAAAGGATGCCTTAAAATTCCCACCAAATTTTCTCACATGAGAAGGATCAACATGGTAAAATATGGGAATAACAAATCTTCCTTGAGTGCGCTTGCGATCCATCGTGTTGGAGAGTTCTTCCAAGCATGAGTTCGACGAAGCATAGTCTTTAGATAAAACGATTAGTGAGATTTTTGAGGCTGCAATTGCTTGAGAAAGTGCTGGTGAAAGATACTGATTCCCTTTTTCCAGATCTTTTTCATCGAAGAAGACAGAGATTCCCCTGTCTTCCAAAGCTTTGAGAAGATGAGCGGTGAAGTTAAGGCGTGTATCCTCACCTCTGAAGCTCAAGAAAACTTGATGCTTTATTCCACGGGAAGAGGAAGGAGAAGCAATTGCTTGAGGGAGTCCTTGCGAACCTTGCTCGTCTTTTCTCGGTTTTTCTTCATGGAAGAAAACATTCAGTGCCAGGTCTTTGAAAGCTTTAAGGAGATGAGTGATGAAGTTAAGGCATGTGTCTGTTTGAGGAGAAGAGGAAGAAGAAGAAGACGCCGCCATGAAGGAGTATGAATTGTGTGATTGAAGCAAACACAGCAAATATATCATGAAATTTGGATAAAATTCAAAATATTTGGTATCCCTTTCAGTAGAATGGAAGAGCTAATCCATGTGCGTGTGGACCTTTGAAATCCTTTCTCATTTGAAGACTTCTAAATCTACCTACTTCTCTTAAAAAAATGATTTTTCTTTTTTTTTCTTTTTTTTTTCTTTAGAGTTTATACCGTTTTGTATAGATTAAATCAATTTTTTTAAGTTAACGGTGATATCGATTTTAATGTTAATTATCGATTTTCAATTCTTTTAATGTTAGTTGTCGACTTTCGATTCTCTTCTCTCTTTAACTTTTTAGTTTTTATAAGAATAATTCTATTTTTGTGGTACGTTTATCTATGTCTTTATGACATTTTTTCTTTACTTTTTTTACACATTTTTTGATCATTGGCCGTTGCTTTTTACGTTATATTTTTTTAGTGTTGGATTTAATGACGTCACGACTGATCAATATGATATTTATTTGTAATATAATTAATCTTTTATGTTATGTACCCTTGGACTGAATTTGGATACGCTATTTTACGATTGTAGATAGTTTCTCACGACGCTCGGCTCTGACTTGCGATTTTCGACGGTCTTTCAATAGCTTAATTCATTGTTGTATTCGTTAGCCGATGTAGTCAGATTTGCTTGTATTTATTTATTTTAAGTATTTTGATTAGGTTTTTAACATTTTTCATGTATGACCTTATATGATCTTAAAGTGATTAATTTTAATATTCTAGAAAAATGTTCAAATTATGTATTTAGTTTACGATAATAGTTGTAAACTATTAGTGTAATCTTAGATATTCATTTTTTAATAAAATTAACAACTTTTATTAGAAAAATGTAACATAGTGATACTGTAGTCAAAAGATTAATTAAGTGGACAAAATAGAAAAATAACAATAGCTTGATGACTATTGATATATCTTAAATTTTTAATAAAATTAATCAATGGACAATTTTACTATTACTTAAAACTCAAAAAACTAAAGATGTAATTTACCATTTAGGAAGGATCAAGATCCATGTCATACTTATACACTTATATCCAAAATTACTATATCTAAATATAATCTGATAAGGTAAAATCCTATATATCATATGGAATGTCCAAAGCTTCACTTATTAATAATAACCACAACTCATAAAATGAAAGTAAAATTAAATCTGTTCGATTATGAACCACCCAAAATTAAGACCATTGTTGTTTCTTCAAGGACAAAACAATATTCATTCATGCATTGAAAGCTAGTTCAGCTTTGACCCTTCTTCTTTCTCTTCCTTTTGCATGGTAGCTCCCCCCCCCCTTTTTCTCTTTCCACCTATTTTCATGGAAGGGGAAGCCATTAATTACTTAGTATTTATTCTTTACAGTAGTTAGTAAGTGAACGTGAGAGAAATATGACTTATTTTTGGTCGACTGCGAAAGCAAAGGCCTTTCAGTTTCAAAGTTCTGATCTTTGAAAATATATGCATGTGTGTGTGTGTGTATCAGGTATTTCTTTTTTCTTTTCAACTGTATTTTTATTGATTAACATATGGGTGTTGCTGGAATTTTGGATCCAATGGTGGGGCTTTTTCCCCGGAGAGATCTTTATGAATCTTCTTTACTTTGTTATCATCTTCTCCTTTTTAGTTGTTGTTCTTCTATGTTCTTTATAAAACTATGAATGACTGTTTCATTTCTGTAATTTGATTAATTTCTTGAACTCCATTTTATTTCTTAAACTTTTCAATCTTAGTAACTAAAAAGGATTGCATTTCTAGGTGAGTTAGCTGTTTTCCTTTATACCCCTATGAAATTTATCAATAATGTTTCCTTGTTGACTTCTTGTGGTTTTTTATTACCTTTTGGAGATAATATTGATCTGATTCTGCAAGCAAATCTGTCTGTACCATGTTTTTAGCCAATCTTCATTGTTTTTATTGACGCATATTTAGGGATTCCACTTAATCTTGAAAAGGGTGTTGTACAAATCTTATTTGATTCTAGGTTCCCCTAATGTTTTTTGGTGAAATAAATTAAGCAGCTAGTCATGGTTTGTAGGTTTTCATTTAGTTTTTAATGCTTTTAGCTCTGTGAATATCACATGGTTGTCAAAATTTTGTTTGCAGGTTTTCTTTCAGTTATGGAAATCAGTTTGTTGTTTGGTGTAGTTGAAGATGAAGACTGAAGACTAATCGGGTTGCCAGTAGATAGAACCGTGCACCGATGGTTGGAAGTAACATAATGGTTTGTATAGTCCAACCAGTGTAACAAATTTGCCTTCTTTCGATGGCCTTGAACTCCAGCTCCAAACCTTCCCCGGAAAAGCAGAGAAAACCATCTGTTAATCAAACGGAATTCGGTAATTCTCGCCCGCCTTCTCCTATACAAATCACAAAGATGAGCAAATCGAAGCTTGTTACACCAGGAATAGTACCTAAGAGTGTGCAGCAAGTTGCATCGAACCAAGATTCTGTTGTAATCACAGAGGATATAAAAGCGTTGAAACCTCGTAAATTAGAGTCCATTGATTCCTTGCTGAAAAAAGTAGATTCGGGTCGATCTTTGTGTAATTGGAAAGAAGTTCAGAATCATGTTATTTCTGAAGTGAGTCGGATCAGTGAACAAGAAAAGAAAACATCGGAAACATGGGACTAATTTAACTTTGGCTAAATCCAATGATGAGATCACCGGCTGCGTCAAGACTAGTGGAGATGTCAAAGTGGCGATTGTCTCGATTATATTGAGTGGAAAGAGCAGTATGTGTAGAGGTAGTACGAGCAGTGATCTGAACGATGAGAGTATGTGTAGCACCTTAAGTAGCAATATCAACAAACCCCACAAGGCAAATGATATAATGTGGGAAGCTATACAGGCTGTCCGAACAAAAGATGGTGCATTGGGTTTGAACCATTTTAGATTACTTAAGAGATTAGGCTATGGAGATATCGGAAGCGTCTATCTTTTGGAATTAAGTGGAACAAAGTGTTATTTCGCAATGAAGGTGATGGACAAAGCATCCCTAGCAAGTCGTAACAAACTTCTGCGTGCTCAAACTGAAAGAGAAATACTGCAATGCCTGGACCATCCCTTCCTGCCAACACTGTATGCACATTTCGAGACGGATGAATTTTCGTGCTTAGTGATGGAGTTCTGCCCTGCTGGTGATTTGCATACACTTCGACAGAGACAACCAGCAAAGCATTTTACCGAGCAAGCAGTAAAGTACGATTCCTCCTACTTATAACATTATTGAGTTAAACTTGGATCAATGTTCTATGATATCCAACTATTATTGTCGGCTTCTTTTGGTATTGATATTATTATTACATCCAGTATCAATGTGTTCCCATGCTGCTTGACTATAACACCGTTTGTTTCTTTATAGCTAGACGATGTTAGGTTGAAACATTGAAACTGAATTATGATAGTCATTGCTAAGTTTGCCTTCAATATGCAGCTTCTATGTAGCCGAAGTTCTACTTTCTTTGGAATATCTTCACATGCTTGGAATTGTTTATCGCGATCTGAAGCCAGAAAATGTTCTTGTTCGAGAAGACGGACACATAATGCTTTCGGACTTTGATCTCTCCCTTCGGTGTACTGTCAGTCCAACACTAATCAGGTCATCCACACTCGAGTTTGAACCCTTGCGAAAGAATCCAGTTTATTGTGCACAACCAGATTGCATCGAGCCATCATGTGTGGCCCCAATGACATGTTTTTCACCTCGTTTCTTTTCATCGAAATCCAAGAAAGACCGCAAACCGAAGAATGATACGGGGAACCAAGTCAGTCCATTGCCTGAGCCAACTAATGCTCGCTCCATGTCATTTGTGGGAACCCATGAGTACTTGGCACCCGAAATCATCAAAGGTGAAGGACATGGAAGTGCTGTTGATTGGTGGACGTTTGGGATCTTCTTGTATGAGCTATTGTTTTGTAAAACTCCTTTCAAAGGGTCCGGGAACCGAGCAACCCTATTCGACGTCATCTGGCAGCCCCTGAGATTCCCGGAATCAAACGTCATAAGTTCTGCAGCAAGAGATTTGATAAGGGGCCTGCTGGTCAAAGAGCCAGAGCATAGTTTGGCGAACAAGCGAGGAGCAACAGAGATTAAGCAACATCCCTTCTTCGAAGGGGTAAACTGGGCTCTAATCCGTTGTGCAACTGTGCAAGTCCCCCGGAAATTCCGAAACCGGTCGAAATAGAGCGGATTCGAACCCCTATATCATCAGCTGGTGATAAACCTTGTGTTCCGGCTGCCAAGGATCGGAGTAACTACCTGGATCAGAGTAACCTTGTGTTGATAAACATGTGAATATGGAAGGATAATGGTGGAGAACATGCAACCCTAAATTCAAAACACGTGAAAAACAATCCCACGAAGATCGAGGAATTAGGTAAATAATGATGAACATACATACCTTTTCAATCAAGGGCGAGCTTGATGATGACACATCACATATATGTCAAAATCTGATTTTCCTTTTTAATTTTTTTTTTTTTTACGATTGGACCAGACATTCTTGTTGGTTTCATTCAACCTTATTCATCTTTAATCTTTACACAACATATGACATCTGTTCATCGTGTCGATGCTGTTCCTTAAAACAAACCCTTAATATTTTAAAACCTTATCAATTTGGTCGCCATTTTAATTTGAAATAATTTAATAATTTACTATTAATTCAATAGTAAATTTTAAATATTAAAATTAATTTAATAGAATATGTAAGTTTGGAGACTAAAACTATTATTATATCATGTCACGTCTTCATTTTTGTTAAGTCCTCAAACTTAGCGTCAAGTTAGCACAATCGAAACCAAAATATAACATTATATATGATTTTAAAAATAATAATTAAGTGACTGAAATAAAAATACGAGTATAGATGGAACACCAAACATATAGTTTATTCTAAAATTTAAAATATGGAATATTTTATATTATGGCGATTCAAAATTTTACCCACAAGGATTCATTGAAACCTTCAAAGCCGTGTGGACTAGACTTGATTTTAAGAAAGTTGGTGAGCACTTTATGAATGGAAAAATTTAAAATTGGGGTCAAACATAATATTCAAACAAACCTCCTATGCTTAGGTTATTTGATTTTTGTAGTCAAAATCAAATTAATAATCCAATTGAATTTTCAAATTGAAATTAAAATTGATAGGACTAGTTTTGAAAATTAAATTTAATGTAAAAGTAATTACTATAAAATTTATATAATTATAAAATAAATTTAAATTAGAAATTATCATTGAACAACAAATTTTTACCAAAAGTTATTAAATAATAATTCAAATCGAATTGAATCGAATAAATAAAAAGAGATGAAATTATATGGTTTTAATAATTCTTATTTAAAAGAAAAATAGTATACCCTGGTTATTATTTAACATATATTTATTATTCATTTAATTAATCTATTTAATTCTTAATAAATTTTAATTATATTATGTTTCACTTAATTTTAGATTTATATATAATTAAATTATATATCAATTTTGAGATGACTATCTAGCTCAGTTGGTAGAACACAAGATTCTTATCCTTGAGGTCGTAGGATCGAGTCCCACAGAGGGTATTTCATAATTCGGAGGACTTCTACGGAAGTTGTTCTCAACCTGGTATTGGGGGCAGCCTACTATCTTACCTCCCCCTTATCCCATTACATATGGGAACAAGGGACAACCATTTTTTAAAAATTATATATCAATTTTGAGATGACTTTATTTAATTATTCCTCATTTACATTAATTAACTTAATTTAAAATATATAATTGAAAATTTGATTAAAATACAAAAGTCAACAAAATAAAAGAAAAAATATATAATCATCTAAAAGTTAATACATATGGTTAAACTAAGTTTAAGAATAATAAAAGAAAAACCAAAAATGTAATTATCCTTCACAATTAAATAATTTAAGAGTGATAAAAATAATTTTTGAATTCAATAAATTTAGGTATAAAGTAAAAATTATTCCTCAATATTTATATATATGATCACTTTATTCATTTATTTATTTATTTTTAATATTGTAACTTCCAAGTTTCAATTTTTAAATAAAATAGACCTTATTGAATGGAAACCGTTAGTTAACTAACGATAAACACATGTTGTTGGCGTAATATTTTTACACCTGTTCAATTTCTAAATTGACACATAATGCATCATCACTTTTGAATGATGTGACACATGCTACGTCAATAATTGAACACATGTAAAAATATAACATTAATAATATGTATTTACCATTAATCAGCTAACGATTTTCATCTAACATAATATATTTTGTTCAAAAAAAATATTTGGAGTTAAAATATTTCAATAAAAATAAATAAAGTGATCATTTGTGCAAACGTAGAAGATAATGTATCATTATACTGGATTTTTATTATTTTTAATCTAAATTTATTGAATAGAAATATTGTAAACATAAGTAGAAAATAAGTAATTAATTTTTTTAAATTTATCTTTTTATTTAAAAGTATTTTTGTAGAAAAACAGAATTGCAACGAAGGTTGACAATTATAACCATACATAATTAAGATATTTTCTTATAATCATTTATGCAAGAAATTATTCACTTAAAATCACACAATAATTATATAAGGAAAATATTAAAAACCTAACAAAAAACTCGAACGAATGATAGATATAACCAAATCTGATTGTATCAACAAACGAATCACAAAAGGAGATTAAACTACTAAAAGACCACCAACAAATTTCAAATTAAAGTCAAATATGTGAGAAAACTCTCCACGAACGTAAATTATGTATCTAAACTTAATTTTAGAGTATAAAAAATAAAAAATTTATATGATAATAAATAAACATTATATTAATAAGTCGTAGTAATATTAAATTTAATCTTACAAAAAACACGAAAAATAACTAAAATATGCTAAAAAATAGAAAAAGAAAACGTATCATTAAAAGCTGGAAGGTGATCCTCAATGTATGGTTTAGTGACGAATAGCTATAATGTGAACATACATCAAAGCAAATTGCCTTTTTTACGAATTTAATAATGTCAAATGTTATCAGAATTTATTTTTCTAAATGATAAATTTTTCATGGAAATGTCGAATTATAATTGTATACATTGGGTTTATTTCATCGTACAATTAAAAAAATTATAATATAATACTTTTTTAATTAATTATTGATATTCAATCTATTGACTGATTAATCCAGATCGAGTACTACAGATATGAGAGTGATTCTCTCAACACAATTTGCTCTATTCATAAATGTCAGGATGAGGGTTGACAGATATTATACCTTCGGTCCTTTAAAAGTTTTATGTTTAAAAATTAAAATAATATATTTTAGTAAAAATATTAATTTTAGTTCCATATCTTTAAAATTATATAATTATAAATTAAAAATAATAAAATTATACATTTAACCTTTCAAAATTTTGTAATATAATTATAATTCTTAAAATGTTTTGTAATTTTGGTTTTGATTATATTTATAAATTTTAACTTAATTAATTTGTTATAAACTATCAAATCATTGTTACTCTAAAATCATTTGGAATTTACACATATTAATTCAATATAAACAACTTTTATATGTACAATTGAATTAAAATTAAAATCTTATATAAATTTGACCCAAAAAATATACTGAATTACAAATTAAAGATCATATACCGAATTACAAATTTGACCAAAAATACGTCACCGGGCTGCGGAAAAACACCGTATGTCAAACTTTTATATGTACAATTGAATTAAAATTAAAATCTTATATAAATTTGACCCAAAAAATATACTGAATTACAAATTAAAGATCATATACCGAATTACAAATTTGACCAAAAATACGTCACCGGCTGCGGAAAAACACCGTATGTCAATAAAGATCCAATATTTATTTATTTTTTCTGCAGAAAAGTTTTCTGGTTTTTTTATTTATTCTTATTCTTATTTCTTTTGAAGATTCTTGAGCTTAAATTTTCAATCTTTAAGCTACAAAGATAGCAAGAGGGAGGAAGTAGGTAGAACCAGAGCTTCTGAATTTAGATAAAGTAATAATTTTTTGTTATCGGAATTTGTTTTTTACTTTGTTTTTGGTCCTTCGTGAGAAAGGAAAGAAAACAAAAGGAAAAAAAAATGAGCACTGCTCATCAAGAAGTCATCAAGCAATTTCTGTCTTTGATGGACAATGGTGAGATTGAAGTATTAAAAAATATTTTTTTTAATATTTTCTTTTTGATATGCAAATAACCAACACTTATGATTTTTCTAATTTTCCTTTTGGAAAATTTGACTTACAGTTGATGAGAAAATGAAGAGCACATTTCAGGTCAGTTTCTTTTGATCTGCTGTGGGGTTTGCAATCTCATGCTTCTAGTTATGTGAAGTTGTAGTTGATTCAGTTTATATAACTTTCTCTTGCTCACTTTTTGTACTAGAGTATGGGGTGATTCAATAGTTGTGTATGTTGGCAAAGAGTTACATATAAGCTAGTTGATACTTGCTAGTTTTATCCTTAAGTTAATATGACTCTAAGGTTTGTTCGATTCGGGTACATATCGAGCTTTTCCATATATTTGGAGGACCATATTTCCATACCATGTGCCGGACATGGATGCTTCTAGAAAAATGAAGAGTCGGGATAACATAGGATCGATCTTTTGTGATTGGTTACTGAAATAGAATGCTAGCTTGTTAGTGATCATTCAACAGTGGGATGTGCAATTGTACTGTAGGGATCATCTTAAACGATTTGTGTATGTTTGATATTAACTATTCAAGCTAGAATACAAAAGTATCCCTTTTTGAGGTGTTTCGACAGAATTAAGTTCCTTACATTTATCTTTCCCTGATTTAGTTTGTCTGCCGTGCTTGTATGCTGCCATACATATACTTTTTATGCACTTTTGTGGGTGGAATGGATGAATACAACCTTTCAAGATACATGTTTTGTACTATGATCTGCCAATATGTAATTTAAACTCGAACTCTTTGGTCTGCAGAATATGCATCATGGGTATCCATCGGAAAGTTTAGTGCGGTTCCTCAGAGCGAGAGATTGGAATGTTCAAAAAGCCCATAAAATGGTGGGATTCATATGGTGCACTGAACTATGCATTAAAGATCTCTTCTTTTTCATATATTAATTCGTAATTTGTTGCCTGCTTCAGTTAATTGATTGCTTGCAATGGCGAATACAAAATGAGATTGACAACATATTATCGGTGAATTTCTCTATCATACACTGATTCTTAATACTTTTGGTTTATGAAATCATGTTGTTTTATTAGTTTATGAAATCACCTTTTCTTAATTATGTAGAAACCAATTGTCCCCACTGACTTATACAGAGCGGTACGAGATTCTCAACTTGTTGGATTGTCGGGTTACTCAAAAGAGGTATTTTCTTATCATTCTGATATCCATGTTCGTTGTGATTTTCATATATACATAATGTGGAGTTGATCTCTTGTACTTGTTTTAGAGCTACTAGGATCCCTTCAGAACAAAAAAATTTGTAACGTGATTAATCGACACATGCATTCTTACATTTTCAGGGTCTTCCTGTGGTTGCCATCGGTGTTGGGCTCAGCACATACGATAAAGCATCAGTAAGGAGATGATCTATTTAAATTTTTTCATTTCAGCATGTAGAATCTGGTTTGATGTTGAAAGAAATCATCCAAAGACTTGTCATGTTTGAACTTGAAACATTCTAGAGTTTAATTGAGGGGCATGATGTTCTTGACACATTCCTCTATTTCCTCCTTACCTTGACATACAATATTTGGCATTCTTTTTCCTCTTCCATGACCCTTTTTTCCTTCTCGTGGACATGCTTTATTGTTAATGCAGTGTCTGAAGTTATTTCTATATTAAATTTGTAATTCTTTTGTGTTCTAGGTGAATTACTATGTACAATCACACATTCAAATGAACGAATATAGAGATCGTGTTGTATTGGTGAGTATGGACTTTGGCAATATGATGTTTGATGATGTTTCTCATGTATTATATATAACATGTCGCTTTTGTTATAGCCTAAGGCCTCAGAAAAGTATGGACGGCATATTAGCAAATGCCTGAAAGTTTTGGATATGACTGGCTTGAAGCTTTCGGCACTGAGCCAAATAAAGGTGTGGTTTATAGTATGATATAGCCTTTTTCCTTACAATCTCTTTGAACTGTCTCTCTTTCTCTATCATAGTATCTTTAAATGTCAACTTATTACAAAATGTGTCACGAGTAATTTTTTATCTTTGTATTAAGCAAGTTTGTCGTGTATCCGTTTACGTATATGTTGTTTTGAGTCCCAAATTTCAGAACTACTTGAGAAGGGTGATTGAAATGTGCTAGTTACTGTATCAATACTTCCTCTTTCTAATGCTGATCCATCTCTCATCCTATTTGCCAATGCAGCTATTGACTACTATAACAACAATTGATGACTTGAATTATCCTGAGAAGACGGAGACATATTATATTGTCAATGCTCCGTACATATTTTCGACATGTTGGAAGGTTCTTGCCTTTCTTAATACCCGCATTCTCTCAGCTGAGTCATACAAAATATAAGCCTAATGCTTCAATACAAATGTTGGCAGGCTGTAAAACCCCTCTTGCAAGAAAGGACGAAGCTGAAAATTCAGGTGCTTCAAGGTTGTGGAAGGGATGAGTTACTGAAAGTAAGAAAATCCATTGCATCTTTAGTTGTGAAACTCTCTCGAAAACATGTTTCCTTCTCAAATATCAGCAATAACATCTTGTTTTTTTTCCTTCATAAAATGTACTTTCTTTGGACTCGGAAGTCCATTATTGTTTGCTGTTATGCTTCTGTAACATGAAGAGGATTGTTGTTGGTCTCGAGTTCGTATTCACCTATTTTTGGTAGTTAATGCTTTCGTTTTTACGATAGCCTGTTTATACTTACCTTCAAAAGATCCAAACCAAATACCTTTCCTAGTTTTGTGTACTGTTTTGAAAGGTAAGGATGTATGAAAAGATAGCTTTAAATAATGAATTGCTTCTCTTGGTAGGTCCTTTTTATACATACATACATACATACATACATACATACATATACAAACATTGGGAATCATGTTTGACATGTTCATTTGAACTATGCCAGATAATGGATTATTCATCCCTCCCACATTTTTGTCGAAAAGAAGGCTCGGGGTCATCACGTAACAGCAGCAATGGAACGCTAGATAATTGTTTCTCATTAGATCATACCTTCCATCGACAGCTTTACAATTACATAAAGCAACATTCAACACTTGTAGAGACTGGTTTGCTCAAACAGGGGTCGGTTCATGTAGATTTTCCTAAGCCGGGTCTAGAAGAAACTGAAATTGCAAAGACCGTAGAATCCGAGCTTCATAAGCTTGCAGACCAGAACGCTCTATGCAACTCATTAGATGGTGTTAAGGTAAATGGTGTTTAGATTTTTCGATAATATACCAGTTATTTGTTGCCAGTATGTGATCACATGGCAAAAGGCTTGTCGAAAACTACTTTAGAATGAGGGATGACCTTGTATCTCAACTATCAAATGTATTGCCAGAGCTTTCTTGCATCGGCTCGACGCTGGTTTGAAAAACAACTGAACTGGTGTAACTTGATATGGTTGTATACTAGTACATTTTTTTCCCTGAAATTCTGTCAGAAACATGATACTCCCTGTCCGAATAGTATCTGAATTCGGGAATGAAAATACAAATGGAGTTTCGTACCAGCAAATGGAGACTTTGTAGATCATTAGACATTAGTATAGCATAGAGCAGCAAGACAACAATCACAAACATAGATAACTAAAGGAAGAACCTTGGGCAGTGTACTCTCCACCAGCAATTTTGTCGAGCCAAAATCTGATATTTCTGCATTGTAGAGTAGTTCTGCAGATGAAAACAAGAACCAAAATCGTTTTGTATTACTTTATGCTTTATGATTGAAAAGTAATGATCTTGAGTCACAGTGCATAATCTTATGATAAACATACAATTTTGCATGAAGGAAAGAAGGATTAATCCCATCAAGCAAGATGGTTTTCCGAGCTTCCCTTTGCATGAACTCAGCATACGCAAAGATGAAAATGTGCTTCAATTTCTTTTCCATGAGCTCATGCAGAAGGACAGCTTGGAAAACCATCTAAATGAATTAGTTTGCTCAACAAAGAAGACAACAATGGTTGTGGTTTATAAGAGAAATAGTTGTTGAGGAGAAGGGAATTGGTCAAGAAAGAATCTTTCGAGATTTGGGGAGCGAAGAGTAGATAAAGAGATGAAAACGAGTTAGCTCTCTTTCTCAAATATTTATCGGCCATCGTTAATTTTTCTTTTTCTCTCTCTCTATGCAATGACACAAGTCTTGATGTTAGTCGTCGATTAATTACGCATGTATATACACATGTTTAATTTAGCCATTCCTAACTTGGATTAATTATATGTTTAATTTCTCTGAAGCCTTACCAAATAATGTGATAAATGAGATGCATGCATAAATTTGTGCACAAATAATCCCAAACAAAGCAGTGCCATTTCCTTTTCCCATCCAATCTAATCTAATCCGAGTGAAGAAAAAAAATGCAAAATAAAAAAAACATTGACCGTATTTTACGTTCTGTGAACAAAACTGAACTTGTATTCCTTTGAGAATGAGCTGCCCATGTATATATAGTATCATATCTTGCTTCTCATTCTCACCAAGTTTGCTAGTGTTTCTTGAGCAGCCAAGGTCTGGGCATGATTGTGCCCCAGCATGACCGTCCGAATACTAATACAAGTTCGGCACAGCTCTTCACCGCTATCGAAATGGCCACCTCTCAGCAGCAGCTTGGCTCTGGTTTCCAGCAGGGTGGCCTTCAGCAATGTCACTTCTTGCCATACGTACTCGTCCACCCTTTGCTTCCCTTGTAACTTGTTCCTCCAACACAGCGGCCCTTGAACACAAGATACGAACGACTTCTCTACTTCCTCCAACACACTCGTGCACACCTTCAATAACTCCAATGCTGAGTTGCATCTCGAGAATTTCGTGAAGGCTCCGATCGCCAGTGGTAGTGCCGTCTTCTTGATATATGTCACCATATCTATTGCTTTTAACTGCACAACGGGAGGTTCCGACTTGAACCCGAATACGAGAAATGCAGTAGCCCATAGGTGATCGGAATTCAGCAATGGGTTCCCGATCTTTCTTATGCTGAGGACAGTGCCTTTAGCTGCCGATAAGCACTCTTTTCTCTTTGCAAACGCTTGAGTTATAGGATGGAACTGAATCCAACATCCATTCTGCCCGTTGGCTCTTCTTGTCAATCCTAGCTTCACGAGGAGATTGGCACAATCTTCGTCGCTTTGAGTAGCTAAACCGCATCCACCGCAACAACTGAAAGTGAGACTTAGACACTTGGTCCATCTTTTGAATCTGTTTCCACCAACAGGCATGTACTTGGCCGCAGTAGCTAGCAAATTTGCCGATATCGGTGATGGGGCAAACCAAGCACCAACAAGAAGCATTCGCGAGGCTAGAATACCGTTCCTTCTGCCGTTGACTTGGTGCAAGACGGCGAAGCAGAAACATAGAATTTTCATCAGGAAAGGATTGTGTTTGAAGAACTGCTCATCAGCGGGTGAAGTAGAGCCATCTTCAAGTGAAGTAGAGACCTGGTTCACAGCTTCAAAGAGTTGAGATGGAGAAATGGGCAGTTTAGAAAGTAGTGAACCGATAATCGACAAACCAAAGCTCAATCTTCCCAGTTTCTCATCAAATTTTCTCAAGAACTCCATCTCATCAGCCGGGTAATCCTTTTTCCTTCTTCCTCGTACTAATATCATTGCATCAGATAAAGGCAATGGAGGAAGCTGCATTATGTCGAAATTCATCACCTTTAGTAGCCTACTTGTGATGATCACATGAGTCCCTCCGGTGTTCCTAGGAATCAACTCATGCAGGTCTTTCCCTTCCCACCACTCTCGTTCCGTTTCGAGATTGTCGATGATCAAAAGATAAGGCATGTCCCGAAACAGCTCCCTCTTCACCCGCTTGAATGCTTCCAATTCTTGATCTTCGAAGCTTCGAATTTGGCCCCTTTCCTTCTCCTCTTCGGCACTCACATCCAATCCCAAGTTGAGTGATAAATTCAGTATATTCTGCCGGAAATATCTAGCTTCTCCACCAACCCAAAGAACCAACTTATATCTCTGGGCATATCTATAGGCAAACTCAAGAACAAGCTCCGTCTTTCCAACGCCAGGGACACCATTTACGCAAATGACACCGCTGCCTAAGCTCTTGTAGTTCCCACTTTTCGACTTCTTGAATTTCGATCTTTTCATCGAACTTCTCCCCATAACTGGTTCAATACATGCCTCAGGCGTAGGCTCTTTGCTCTTACCGAATTCCAGATTGATGAACCTCCCCCTAGTGGAAACATTATCACTTTCTTCTTCTGCAAGCCCTTCGGATTGTCCGCTCGCTTCGCCTTTGATAATGGGCATCATCGAGCAACAATGATCTTGCTCAGCAACTCCAAATAAGGCAGATTCAATCTCCACAATCTCCTTCTCTCTTCCCACAAAAAACCTGTTTCTGGGGAAGGGCAGCAACTCAAATCCTTCACCAACAAAGTCTTTCTCTGCCACACTCTTCCTCCCAAGCTTAGTTCGTAGTATTACTGCAGTTTTAGCTACACAGCTTCTCCAGTTACCCTGATTGGCTTCCAGTTTGAACTCGTTACACTTGATTACTCCTTCGATTGCTTCTTTGCATTCTTTATCAAGTGAATTGCAGTTGAGAAGCCCAGTGATATCGGCCGGTCCCGTGTCGAAGAATAGTGGGATCAAGTTCTTCTTTTGAGTAAAGAATCTAATTTCCTCCAAGCTATGATGGTTGAGAAAGCTACAACTGGTGACCGCCACGACTCCATACGTGACCGAGCAGATGATTCGGTCCGCAATCTCATGGCTCTGAGTATCCGAATACTTGGCTCTATCCGCAACAAAACAAGCAATCCCCTGAAGCTCCAGCTCCGACTTAAGCCACTTACAGAAGCGACCCAAGTTAGGATTCTGACCATGGAAGCCGATGAAAACATCACAACTCCGGAGTTTGGCATTAGATGCCGGAGAAACAGGAGCTTTTGCGAAGGAAATTCGAGGCACTGGAAACGAGAATGAGACGCGTGGACCAGGATCTGGAACTGGAACACAAGTTACAAACTTGAGCTTTGGATACGAGGGGTCATCGGAGTACTCGTACTGGTCCGATGGTGGAGTGTAGGAACTACTCGGTATATCATCGGACTGTGAATCCCCTATGTGTGATGATGAGACTAGTGGCGACGATGAAAGAGAGACAAGAGCAGGGTTACAGTTAGAGTTCTCTTGGGGTTTCGGGATTGTGGCCCTCGGTGATATATACGGCGACTGCAAAGCGGAAACAAAGGCGGACGATGGTGGGGACACCAAGGAAGGAGAGTTGTAAGGAGATGACTCCATTGATGATTTTAAGCTCGGAGAATGCAGATCCTTAGCGGTCCAAGCTAAACCATCTTTATCTTTACCAGTTGTCTTAATGGTGAGCCCTGCTACTGATGCTTCTTCTTCAACCATTTCCATTACAGTAGATCTAGTGTTTGTACAATGTTTCTTCTCTAAAGCCTACACCATGATAGAGCTTGTACTTTCAAAAGTTACCATCAAATTTAACAAAGACAAAGTGTAGAAACAGATAAATAAAATCTGAGACCCTTTCCCTTTCCCGGGTTCCTCCTGCATCAATTATCTCTCTGGCAGATAATAATTGAGTGAATGGGCACCGCCTCTGACCAGCGGCTACAGTACAAGTTGAATGCAATAGTTATGTCAAATGGAGAAATCTGCATGTGATTCTCAGACTATTATCTCACTTCATTATCAGTGGGTCTTGCTTCCATTACAGCTAACACCTATTTCTTCTCTTCTTTTGCATAACAAAAAGGAGAATTATAGTCCATTAAAAACCTTCATAACTATATAACCTTTGCCCGCTAGTAGGATGCAATTAAAACACCATAAATTTACTTACCTCACCTCTGTTTTACTTTGAAGCAATGGAAAACAAGAGAAACCATCTGCTGCAAAAAAAAGGGCATCATTTCTATCTTTTTCTTTCCCCTTTTTTTAAAATCTTCTCTCACAAAACCAAGCTGTAAGAGAATAGGCTGGATTAGTGGGGGCTTGAACATAAAATATTAGAAAAATGCTTAAAAAGAAGTTGCAGAGAGAGTTTACTTGCATGAATAATTTAATAGATTGCATTGGGTTTAGGCCATTGCTTTTTGTTTTATGTAACATGGGGGTGGATTCCTTTGTCTCGGAAGCCAAGGATTGGTCAGAGAAAAACTGAGGGGAAAAGGGGCATTGGAAGGGGGAACCATGACTGGTTTTTATATTAAGGATTTCAAAGTTTGAAAACAACATTAGAATAATGCAAATCTATGTTTAAGATTCTGCAGATTAGACAATGAAGGAATTGTTCGAGTGTTGGTATTATGTTGATGCAGTGTTCATTTATTTCATCTGGAAGTGTACACATCACATCTGACACCATGTTAAACTTTTTGCGCCGGAAATTGGACCCAAGACCAGTCCAACTGAGAACTGAACAAATACTACGGCCTACTCTATTATTCATCTTCCTCGCTAACATTAGAATAATGCAAATCTATGTTTAAAATTTAATTTTAACATCTTTAAAAATAATATATTACTTAATAATTTATTTTAATTACTTAAGAATAAATAAAATTCATGATTTATATACTAAAATATTAACAGTGAGTTATTATAAAATATTTTTTATTTATATTTTTAATTTACAATATAATATCTATAATGTATTTTTTATCTTTTTACACTAATTTTTTAACAGTAATTTCAAATAGTTAAATTTTAAATTATATTTTTATATAATATTTTTAAAATTTTATTTCTACAACACATTTAAAAGTTACTTTTAAAAAATTATACTAAACTGACCCTAAGAAAAGCCAACTTGTTTTCACTTCAGCTATACGAACATCTTTTTGTTTCTTTCTTTGCATTATATTTGATAGTTGTGGCTTTTATCCGGGAGATAATGCAACTGTTTTTTAAGATGGACACGTATTAATTTTGAAATCTAAATTTTTTTTATTAATTATTTATTTTATTGATTATATTAACTCTAAAATTTATAAAAAATTTAATATTATTAATATATGTACATTTTTGCTAACAAATATTTTTAGATCTGCCATTGTTTTCATCTTATTTAAATCCATTGCTTTAAAGCTTTTTAATATATATATATATATATATATATATATATATATATATATATTATGAGTTAAGATTCATTCATCAACAATTTTAAAAAATGTAAAATTAAAAAAAATGTAAATTGATATTGCAAATATATATATACTCGTCATTCCCGAAAACAGGGGAAGCAAGTTGACGAGGGCAATAACTTTAGCCATTAATCTTTACAAAGACGTGAGGGGAGATGCAGCTCTACTGTAATTGATTGAACCTTTCATGGTTCTTATTCAGATCATTCAGTTTAATGAAAGTACCCTAATTGCTCCCCCCAATGCTTTGAACAAACTCTTGAATGCCAAATAAAGGAAAATTCATGGCACTCAATATTCAAGTCAAAGTGCTCAAAAGCATTAACCATTCGTTTTATCCAGGACACACCACTCCTAAAAAATTTGGGATTCAAATTAGACAACTCTACCATGAAAACTTCTAAAGATATTGATCAAGTTGTGAATCTCAGTCATTTTTACAATTCGCGATAAGTAAAATGAAATAGGAGAATGTGCTTGTAAGTGAAAGAAATTTTTTCTACAATTTATTAATTTTATTATTATTGATGTGATCAAATGGGTTGTTGTAGCGATCAACGGTTTATCCCTTTTGATTTGGTTGGAGTGTCGTAGTCGATGATGAATCGATCGTTGAACGATATCGAGAAATTTTATCTCTATAAAGAAGTATAAGAGATGAATAAGGGTGAGGTGATTTAATTTGAATTCTATCCATTCTTTCAATCTTGTTCGAGAGGTTTTATAGTGACTCTTGGAGTTGATTTCAGGTGTAAGGTCATTTTGGCTACCCGTAGATTGGAAGACAAATTAGGTGGATACAGTCGGTTGGGAGTAAATTTAACTCTAGTAGGTCATGTGGGCATGTCAGATGTCATATCAATGAATCATAATTTTTTGAGGTCCTTTTAGAGACAGTCTCCCTATGTCTTATGGAGCTCTCGAAGTTCATTCTCTAGGGTGCTCTTCCAAGATCTTACCTACAGAGAGATTCTTTCTCTGGAGACTTTGCGATGCAGATGTAGAGATGACCTGCATAGGACATTTGGTAGAGGAACATCATTTGTCCCTCATTAGTCGAGGAAATGTCATAAAGTGGCTTGACTCAAGACTTAGTCATTGAAGTGTTACAAGTCTTTAATAAACTATTTTTGGGGAAATGTCGGTTTGATTGTTGTTTCTTAAACCACTCACAGACATAAATGTACGACGTCTTGTGTTTAGCGCGATGGGACAATGCGTTGTTTTAACCGTTGAGAATGTATTATTTCGTTCGACTATATAAGGAGGATTGGGGTTGACAATCGTAAATCCTTCTGTTCATATCTTTGCTCTCATTGCACTATTTTCTAGAGTTTGCTGTTGTGATGATGAAGAGAAGGTTCAAGCCAGCAAAGTGCCGGAAGGATTCGAATGTGACCGTTCAAAGATTGTCTCTTGTTAAGGATAATAACTCCAACACCTCTGTAGTTCTTCTTCCTCGATCTCTTCTGATTCTTCCTAATCCTTCTTTTTAATTAGAGTTTTCAAATTATGAGTTTATATTTTTATTATAAAATGATAACATTAGTGGTTATTTTGTTAGTTTTAAAACTTCAGTGCTGAAACAAAATTGTACTCATACTTCAATTACCACTTACATAGTTTACCCATCTTTTAATTTCACAAATGAATTTAAGAAGCCGTAAATATTCTTAATTGTTATTTAAATTAATAAACAAATAAATGGAATATATGAATTCAGTAATAAACAATCATCATAGTGACTGGTACGTACATCAGCACCACCATTGTTCTATCCATATGAGGGGTAAGTAGAAAGCAAATTCAGCCCTCTGCAATGCGGACGATTTCAAATCAAGTTACTACACGTAAGAATAATATTATCTAACAGGCAGAGCTTATTATTGCATTAATCAGCTGCTTTCTTAACGATTTCTTATTAGCCAGATCAAATGAAAGGAACAGCGATAACCAAGTCATCATCATATGCATCAAAGAAAACCCAGAAAATAAAGCAGAAGAAAAGCAATAAATTTTTTTTGTTTTTAAAGAAGACAAGAGATCCCCCCAGTAATAGAACAAAGCATGATTAAGAAGAGGAGGCACAGGATCATGATCAGAAGAAGTTGGGATTGTAGCCGTTGCTTGAGGTGGCCAAGATGTAGTAAGCAACAATATGGCCAATGGATCCCCAAGTAAGAACATCGACGATGTTGAATCCCACAGGATCGTTGGACTTGAGAAGGCTAACATACTCCTTGGCTCGCGTGTCTCCAGCCTCGAAGTGAGTCAACCCATTCTGCTCAGGCACTTGCTTGGCAACGTTTTCCCTTTGGAAGTTGAAGAACACAAACCTACCCAAGAAGAGGGAGAGTGCGGTGCTGATGCTTATCACAACTGGGGCATTCAGCTCTGCTTTGATGGCAAACCTGGCACTTGCTGTTGCGATGGATGTGGGCTTGGATGAGGACTTGGCCTTGCTGAGGGGTCGGAGGCCTTGGAACGAGATGGTGGAGGGGGCGAACTGGTGGCTGCCGACGCCGTGCTTGTTTTGGACGGTGGAGAAGACGGGGGTGAACAAAGCTGACGAGGCTGCCATGGTGCCTGCGCTGAAGAATGTGGATAGGGAGAAACTAAAATGAGATGAGATGATTTTGGGGGGAAATGTTGTACATAAAAAATCATATAGGAAAAATAAGTGGTGGTAGGAAGAAGGAAGGAGGAAGGAGAGTGAGGATGAGATTGGAGAAAGATTTTGAATGCCTACCTGCCTTTCTTTCATTGGTTTCCTTTGGATAACGCATCTTTCCTTCCTCCCATGTCACAGCACACCACAGATTTTGGATGCCCCTCATTTGAACTTGCGCATAAAATAATGTTTAAAAGGTCTAAGATTAAAAAATTTTGTTGGTTGATTTTAATCCAAATATTTTACTTTGAATTTAAAGTAAAAATAGATAAATATATTTTCCGATTTTTATTATTTACACTCATATTATTTATACAAAACGTTCAATATATCACCATCTTACAAAATCTAAACCTGTGGTAGTGGGATCGAGTCCTACGGTAGGCAATTTATAATTCTGACTGCCGAAGTCTTCCACGGAAGCAACCTGGCGTTGGAGGCACCCTACTACCTTACCTCTCCCTCACCCCATTACATATGGAAATAAGGTCAGCTAATTTATTTTATACAAAATCTAAAGTTCTTTTGTTCAATTAAATGTTTCTTAATAATTTAATTAGGTACTTGAACTTGATTTTACGGTTCAATTTGATATCTAACCTTTTTTTTATCCAATTAAATGTTTGAACTTGACTTTTAAGTTTAAATTGATATCTAAATGTGACTTCACAATTCAAATAAATAATTTATCGTAAGCACTAATTTAAGTTAAAAAATAAGACTCTGATATTAATTTGAACTAATATGTCAAGTTCAAGTCACTTATTAAACAAAAAAAAAGTTTAGATATTACATTGAATCTTAAAACAAAGTTCAAATACCTAATTTGACAAAAAAATTATGTATAAAAAATTACACTGACACGGTTCTATTATAGCAATTACACACATAGACGATTTTTTTTTAAATAAGTGATTTCACCACGACACGGTTCTAATCTTTCGATTATTTATTTTTTATTACTTTGTTCAGTTAGTGCTAACGGTATGGTTTTACAATCTCTTTATTTCCAACATTTTGGAGTATAAATATCCCGTTTATAGGATGGTTGGTCGTAGGTCTAAGATTATTATGTATGTTAAAAGGCTGAAAGACTGTGTAAATTGACTGCCAACTATCAAAGGTCAAAGATTAAGGAGTATAAACTCTAATGATGGAGGGTGGTTTGAAGATGGCGTAAATTCTCTAAGGAACTTCTAAAAGTTCTGCTCAAAAGATAAAGTTTAACGAAATCTTTATCAACGGAATTTTGATTTTTTTAAGGGTCTTCTCCGAAGTTATAACAATTGCATAGCAATAATCAACATCATCTAATTCAAGGCATAAGTTTGATGAGTTTAACATTTTGCACAAAGTTCTGCAAATATTCACTTGGAAAAAGTTTCCTTACATTATGAAAGGTAAAAAGAAGATCAGCACACATCAATTGAATGACAGCATTGGAAGCTCCATGGAGAGTAGTATAAAATCTATAATTATCAAGCACAAGAATTTCCTTCACTATGATTATCCAACAATAAAGAGAGAGAGAGAAAAAAACCCAAGGCATCAGATCTGGAAGCTAATGAAGATTCATGCAATACTCCATAATAAGTAAAACTGAAATAGAGGGAAAAAGAAAGAACCTTTCTTGGTCTGAAGGAGGTTCCTTGCAGTTGCAGAGGAAGATGTTAAAGAAAGGAAAATAGCATCTGCATAGGCATATGAGAAGGGTGAGAAATGGATTTAGAAGCTATACAAAGAATTTGTTGGTGAAATACCTGAAATTGAAGTGGAAGCAGAAAAACCCAAGAAAAGGAAGAAAACTGCAAAGCAAGAGAACCATTCATGTGTCCCCAATAATATTACTGTTTTTTCCCTTTAAAGAGTCCAAGTTTTTTTTCAAGAAATATCTTTAAAGTTTCATCTTATTAGTATAATGCTAAAAAAATTGATAAAAATAAGTTGCAATAGAAGATTTTATAAAAAAATTGTAACTTTTTATGATGGAAAGAGTAACATTTTAAGTTGAAATCGAAAATGTTATAAATTTGTATAACTTTTTCGATATAAACCCTAAACCCCTCGCAATGTAATTTTTCGATTACAACCGAAAATACTACAAGTATAACTTTTTCGATATAAACCCTAAACCCCTCGCAATGTAATTTTTCGATTACAACCGAAAATACTACAAATTTATATAATTGTTTAGGTTGAATAAGACAAATTTAAGTTGAAAACCACCTTGAATTAGACTGACAACAGGACCATTGATCTTCTTTTTCTCTACTTCGAATTACCAGAAAATAAATAAAAAATAATAGAGGAATCAATTCAAAAATTGATTTATTTTTCAAAAATCAAATAATCATAAGTCTTAAATAATGTGAATTTAAAAATTTACCTATTTTCGATACATCAATTATGATTTATCAATCTTCATCCGGTTTTTTTTCAAAATGATAACATAATTAAATATTAAATATTTATTTCGATAAAATATCTCATCATTTTAAATGAAAAAAAGGTTATAATTTAAATACATAAATGAGAAGTAATTAATGTACCTTTATGTTTATAAAATAAGAGGGAAGACTACATAGAAGAGAAGAGGGAGTGTTATTTAGTAATGATTGGAATCGATAATTGGTATTATGAAAGTAATATACATTAATTGTTCAAACTCGAGATTTATAAAAAGAAAAAAAATATTTCCTCTTATCTGTAAAATTATTTGACAAGTGTATTGATCACAAATTTTGACCAAAAATACTAATAGTAGTATGCATTGTTGGATTATGGTTTTTAATTGGTAAAAAAAGGTTATAGAGACAAAATGAAGGACATTCAAGTACAGGGGCTGATTATATTTTGACCTTTTAGGATACACGTACATCAGTAGGAGAAGTTTTAGAGAAGCTACCTTGTCTTTGCATTCGTTTTATTGTATCATCACTGAAATCGTATTTGCACAATTTATCTGAATTTAGTTTGGGTTGAACCTTGGATGTTGGAAATTTAATAATGTTGTTTTGCTAATGGTGGTTTTGTAATGTTTGGTGCAGGGCAAGGCTAAAGATATTGAATTGAAGGGACACACTGATAGTGTGGATCAAGCTGATCTCATTGCAACTGCATCTGGTGATAAGACTGTTCGTCTATGGGATGCTCGAAGTAAGTGAAATGCTGTTTAATGTTATTGTTTAGAAGACTTAACTGTAAAGGGAGAGACTTCTATAGCTTGTACATCTCTTCCATGATTCTTATGTTGACTCCCAGCAAGCAGAACTTGGCGGGGAGAATATAAATATCACTTATAAACCTGACGGGACACACATAGCCGTTGGTAATAGGGTATGTTCTACTGTCTTATGTCATTTGGTGCACTTCAAAACATCTGTGGCTGGGAACTTTTTACAAGCACTTATTTTTTGTAGCGGTAGAGCAGTTTTTGTTCCCATTGTTTCATCACGATAATGAATTAGTTTATCATTGATCTTATTGTGCTTTATTCTCTGAAGGATGATGAATTAACAATACTGGATGTTCGAAATTTAAGCCGATTCACAGGCGCAAGTTCAATTATGAGGTACTTATCAGTTTATGCCGATACTTGCATTAGAGGCCTAGTTTTAGAAGGTTTAGATTTTACATAAAACACAAACTTGACTATTATAAAGTAGGAACCACATTTAAGTGCGCAACGCATTCACTTAATCAAATTGTTACTTAAGCTGTGTAATATCATCAACATTTTTTGGCCTAACCATGAGAAGCAATATGAAATATCATAAAAAGCTTTTGGCCTTTACTCGGCTAACTCTTTGGAACTAATGGCTAATCATGGGATGCTGTAGCTTTAGCTGTATGATTAAAAGGATGAATAAAATTTCTATTATTCTAATTCAGTGGTCGAGTCATACACTTCTTTTTCAGGTAAATGAAATTGCTTGGAATATGACCGGAGACATGTTCTTTTTGACAACAGGAAATGGTTGGAACAATTTCTTTGTTAGCAATTATGCTTCTCTCTTTCATTCAAAAATTGTTTATTATTATGCCTTAGTTTAAAGGTAGATGTTTGTATTCTCCTTGTTGATTGTTCTTCTTCTCAGGTACTTTTGAAGTACTTGCATACCCATTAGACCAATTGACACCCTCATGGCACATGCAGCTGGCTGCTACTATATTGCAATTGATCCAACAGGAAAGTTTGGCCTAAATCTCTCTTAATTTCTAAGCTTTGTTGCACCTTGACTTTATTGGATGCCCATCCTCATTTCTTTATGCATATATCATGTAAGAGTAAATCTGCAAATCTGGATATATGTACTGTCTTTAATGTTTATATATGTCACGTTTTTCGTACATGCAAGGTTATTTTTGTGTATTAAATACGCGGTATTTGTGGTCAGCCATCAATGAATATATATTTTTTCTTTCATTGAGATGATAAATGTTTCCAATAAATCCATCTCTATTTTATGGTAGATATTTTGCTGTTGGAAGTGCTGATTCCTTAGTCAGCCTTTGGGATATATCAGAGATGCTTTGCGTGCGAACATTTACTAAGCTTGGCTTGAGTATTTCACCTGACTTTGGAACTTTGTATTAACTTTGGTCATATTTGTCATTGGCATGAAATAATTAATTTGTGTTCCTGCAGGTGGCCTGTCCGGACAATAAGCTTCAATTACACGGGCAACTATATTGCCTCTGCCAGTGAAGATCTATTTATTGATATAGTATGTATCAGTTGTACTCCCTTATCGGTAAAGACAGTTCATAAAAAATATTGTAATCAGTTTGTGCTGTTGTCTGCAACAGTCCAATGTTCATACCGGCCGAACCGTGCATCAAATTCCTTGTCGAGCTGCCATGAACAGTGTGGAATGGAATCCTAAATACAATTTACTTGCTTATGCTGGTGACGACAAGAACAAATATTCAGCCGTACCGATGAAGGCGTCTTCCGGATATTTGGCTTTGAAAGCAGTTAAGTTAATGGTGGAGTTCTTATAGCTCTTGTTGAATATTTTTGGAACCAACTGTACTTAGATTTAAGTATTTTTGGATTTGTAAGAACATTTTCATTTTCTTAATCAGGAACTTAGGATGATGCATAGATTGATTTTAAAAAATAAATAAATGAATGAATGATTTGTTTTATTATTTGAGTCGTAAAAGAATTTCTTGTACATCTAGAAGAGCACACAAGTCGTGGTGCCATTGAAGATCACAAATAGCATCTCTTTGATAGTAGTATACAAGATCTCAGGCTCTTAAATTGAGGACCAGTTGAATGACTGAAGAAGGTTTATAGAATCGCCTCTGCTCTGCAACACCGTAGTGGTGTCTTCTTTGACCTGCTGCTAGTAATGGAGTTCATAGCTCCCAGCAGGTTTTAAATAAATCATTATCGGACCAAGATGCTTCATCCCCAATGAAGACCTCTGTGAACAAATTATCTGGTATCAAAACCCCAATAAAAGTGTTTAAAACGGCACCTTCTACATTGGAAGCATTTTCACAAGTCGTATTAGATTCCACAGAGCATGAACTTGCAGACCAGCAAAGCCAAACCGGAGAAGCAAACAAGTGCAACAGTGATCAGGTACTGAGAGCACCATGTTAGGGGCTTCCATTTAATCTCAACGCTCGAGCTCTTCATCCTCTTCCCAATGTGAGGCTCTTTTGACAAATCGAAGCTTTCCCCTTTCATCCTCAGCTCCTGAATGCACCTCGTGAGTACTCGGTTATCGCTCCGCTCCCTCTGCAACTGCTTCTCCACTTTCCAGTACCTGTAAAGCTTGACCTGGACCAAAAACACAAACACGAGTGAAGTCGAGAGCGAAACAATTGATGGCACCCACCATTTCCCGCAAGTGCGGTGGTCTTCTGCACCGACGGAAGACGTGAACAAGATGTTGAAGAAAAGTCCAAGGAAAATGACAAAGAAACAACACAATTGGAAGATCTCTCTCTTGATGGAGTCGAGCCTGGACTCTTTGAGAACGATCCTACGACCAAAAAGGTCTTCCTCTCTTTGCCATAACTTGAGAAGCAAGAGATGGCCCGGACTCCGAGAGATCTCCATTAATGGATGGTTTTGGATTGCAGAGATGGTGGCTAAAGCACATGAGAGCTTCTGTTGACGCTCTTCATCTACAGGGATTTCTACAATGTGGGTGTCTGCCATTTCGGCCATGACCGAAGAAACAAATCACAAAATAATTATAAATAAAAATATAAATTAAAAGAATTTATGCTATCAGAGAATAAATAAACGGAGGATTTTCGAAGATGAAATGAGATGAGATTAGAGAGATGGAATACGTTTTGTTGAGGCAAAATGGAAGGAGGCTGTGATATTTAAAGTGCTTTCTCCAAAAAAAAAAAACGCGTGAGATTGGCAACGGTAATATTTTTGATATCCCAACGGTCAGATTTTCTTTCCGCTAATTCACATACTTGGGCTTCGTAAGAGAGAACAAGGCCCAGCATTCTAATCCAACCATTCGGCTTATTTATTTATTTTTTATTCAGGCTTACTTTCCCACTAGTCTGGAGTTGTTATTTATTATTAAAAATCACATCATATTACTTTAATTATTAGTTTACGTTGGAAAAATAGAATAATTTAATTTCGGTGATATTTTCAAGAAACTGAATTTTAATTTTCGTTTATATCCCGCGTAACTTTTTTTGCTTTTTATGAAGAATAAATAAGAAGGATTGTTTATAATTTAATTCGAGATTTGATAATATATATTATAAATTCTAAATTTAATCTTAATCATATTCAAAGGAGAGCGGAAAGGACGACACTAGGGGAAGGAATGGAAGTAATCCTAATGAGTCTATAATTCATAACCAAAAGAAATATGAGATAATAAATATAAACAACTTGACCAACCGGTCAGATATACTTGTTCAAGATTTGATAACAATTAAGATAAAAAAATATTTTAATTGTTATATTACATTTTTAATTAACTTTTAAACCTGATAAATTAAATTTTATTATGCCATTTAAAATTTTACCTTTTTTAAAATATAGTTATTAAAAAAACTTAATTTGCTCGTTTTATAAGTAAATAAAAGACTCAATTAAAAAATAATATATAAAATGTACTATTTTTCTAAATATAATTTTTTTTATCAAAGTAGATATTTGAAGTATTTTTTCATATAGGTATTTAAAATATTTTGAATCAAAATAAGTTTAGGAATTTTAAATAAAAACACAATATATTTTAAGTGTCTAATTTAATAAAAAAATATCTAAACAAAAGTTATAAATATTTTAAATATTGATTTTGACTAAAAATACTTTAGATATTTATAGAAAATGACATATTTTATATATTTATTTTTAAAATAAACCTAAATAAAAATATCAAATTGAAGAGATAATGTGAAGTTAATTATTCAGTGGACCAATGGATGCCACGTTTACTAATTGAAATTGATTTGTCAAATGTAGAGACAAAAAGGACCCCCCCCCTATTCCAAAAGCACACGTACAATGATTGTTACATGCAAATCTATATATCTCAAAATGAAACCTAAACTTCTTAGTCAGAGAAAAAAATTCAGATATTTTCACCTTTTAAATTAAAATTCAAGTCAAATTTATTTAACAATTAAACTTCAAATCAAATTAACTTAACACAATTAAATTTAAAATGAATACATATATTGTATGTAGGGGTGTGCAAAATTACCCGAAAAAAAATCGGGTAATTTTCTTTTAAAAAATACCCGGTCGGGCCCGGATCACAAAAATTGTTTTTTCCGGGTACCCGGTCGGGTTAACTTGTTTTTTCAAGCTTTTCTGCACTGTTTTTTCTTGAAATAATCATTCTCAGACTTATGAATACTACATTTGTGCTTATTGTGCTAACAATGATCACGTCCAAAAGGCTCTTAAAATTAGAAAGGTAGGATGTTAAAATATTATTTAATTTGCATTTTGAAAACTTTGAATTTGAAATTTGGATTTATGATTTACTATTATTATATATTTATTAATATATTATATATTAAATTAAAGTAAACAACTTTTTTTTAGATTATTTTAAAGTAACACCGGGTATCCGGGTATATATAATATATAATTTATTTATATATAAAAAGTTAATAAAATTAAAGTAAAAAACTATTATATATTAAATTAAAGTAAACAACTATTATTTTAGAACATTTCAATATGGGATTTTTTTATCTAACATAATATATATATTAAATTAAATAATTATTTTTAAAACATTTAAAAAAACTAGGTATCCGGGTACCCGAAAACCGGGTACCCGGAACATCCGGGTCGGGACACGGACCGAGAAATCAATGACCCGGATGTTTCGGATTTGCACACCCCTAATTGTATGTAAGTAAATAGATAGATATGATTAGGGCTATAAATAAAATGATACATATCGCAAGGTACTCGAGTTCGATTTTGTTAATATTAGAATTGAATGGATTCGACTCAAGCTTGGACTCGACTTGGGTTTCGTAATGAATCAAAACGAGTTACTTAATACCCGACTTGAAAGTCCGTGAGCAACTCGAAAAAATAATATATTAATTTTTTTATTTTTTTATTAAATTATTAATAATATTAAAAATTATATGTTTTTAAAGGCAATATAAGGTTTCCATGTACTTGGAGTTTGAGTTTGAGCTTTAATCGAGTTAAGTTTGAGAATGTTCCGAGTTTGAGTCGAGCACAGGTAGTTCTTCAGAAGTCCAGTTGTTAAGCACGAACCTCAACGGTAATGGACGGATTCCAGATCGATCTATCAACATCCTCAACATCATCTATTGTTATAGCATTGATAATCAAGTCTTTCTGAGCTTTCTCCAAATCTGATAAGGTCATCATTGCTTCTCCCTCAAACATATAGCCACCAGACCTGAATGTGTCGTGAAAATGAGAAAAAACCATTGGTTCCCATTAAACCTCTTCTCCAGTTAATATCGCCTCCTTTCTTTATTGGCACCTATGAATTTCCTTCCTTCTTTGTTGATGATTGGGTTGATAACCCAACCCAAAATTATCAAGCTTGGTAACAGGGAAAATAGGGTTGATTTTTCCTTATAGAGAGCTCCCGAACCCTCTCCCTATCCTTGCACCTCTTCCAAAGGTTTGCTCAATTTTTATCTTGGTGCATTCTGAAAATCTTGGTTTGGAAATCTTACTCCCTTCAACTACGAATATGGCATTGACAAACTCCAATGAGCGAAACGAACATTCCAGAGCTTTCTCATCTACATTGATGTACGGGGCATCGGTGGTCATGCTTGCCACTATGTCTTCTTCAGCATTGATGATTATAAAAGTTCCGTCAATAATAAACTTAACTTTCCGGTGGAGTGTTGATGGTACTGCCCCAGCTTGATGAATTCATGAACTTCCTAAAAGGCAATCGTACGAAGGCATAATGTCCATCACTAGGAACTCTATGTTGTAAGTGGTAGGCCCAATAGTTAGTGGTACTTCAATTTTGCCAAGCACCTCCCTTTTCGTCGCATCAAATGCTCAAACCACACTTTGGCATGTTCTCATGTGGGAAGCATCCATTGGTAGCCTTTTAAGAGTGACTAAAGGCATTACATTAAGGGCATAACCATTGTCGATTAGTACAATTGGTAAAGCATGCCCCTTACAATGAGTGGTAATGTGTAATGTTTTTGCCCGACCTCTTCCCCCGGACGAAATCTCATCATCAGAAAATGGGATAAGATTATCAACTTGGATGTTATTAACCAGTCGGTCCAGCTTATTGACTGGTACGTTCTTTGGCACAATGTTTGATTCAAGGCCTTCAGTAGTGTCTCTCTTTGTGCCTCCAAACGTAGTAGTAAAGCCAATATTGAGATACGAGCTGGCAAGCTATATAACTGTTCCACAACGTTGTATTCACTGTATTTTAAAAACTTCAAGAACTCCACAACTTGTTCTTCTTTTATTAGCTCATTAACTGTTGATTCGTCTCCTTTAAATGGCTAAAGCGTCCTCTGGGGTAGGTTATACTTCTGAGGGTAGCACCTCTCACTTATAGTAGAATGCCCCACTTCATTGACATCTTCTTTTATAACACTCACTTGGCATTCGTACTTCCAGGGTAATTGCTTACTATCTTTGTAAGGGAAAGGTATTGGTGCCACTATCACCACTTTAGCTGGTACCTTGTCTGCCATCTTTGCTTTTGGGGTAATTATCAAAGGGCGGCCCGTACCGTATCCCTGTTCAGATGCATCTCTAGTTGCACAAACATCTTCTTCTGGAGTGTCCTTGTTTTCTTCGTAAAATTCTAGCTCTTTTCAGTCCATTATTAGCTGGAGCAAGGCTCTAAATTCGACACATTCTTGCACATCATGTTCGTCCTCATTGTGATAACGACGATGACTGGCACATTTACAATCTGATGTGCTAGGGTGCGGTGCAAGAAATCCCTCATTTATCATTTGCCTCCATACCCAAGCCATAGGTGACTTCACTTTGGAAACTTTGGTCATGACATTCTTGCCTTTTTCCTCAGTAATTGCATTAATTCCAGTCTCTTGGTGATTAGGTAAAGGATTCTGTGCAACATTGGGTGACTCTAGGTTATTGAAATGAATCCAGCTCTTATTGCGCATCCTTTGAACAATCCTCTTAAAGGCGAGGCAATTTTCAATAACATACCCCGGGACACCACCATGATATTCACAATATGTATTTTTATCATACCACTTGGGGTATAGGGGTTTTAAAGGTTCTACTGAATATGGTGACACCGCGTGTGTCAAAAAATTGCTAATAAAGTTTTTTATAAGTCATGGGAATATAATCGAAATGCTCATTCTCTTTCTTTCCTTGGTTGCCTCAAATCTTGTCTAGAAGTACTTGACGATACAATTGCAGTTAGTTTTGATTTAGAGATCGTAACACTTTTTATAAATATTTTTTTTATCAAAGTAGATATTTGAAGTATTTGTTTTTTTTTCATATAGGTATTTAAATTATTTTGAATCAAACTAAGTTTAGGTTTTTTAAATAAAAACACAATATTTTAAGTGTCTAATTTATAAAAAATATCTAAACAAAAGTTATAAATATTTTAAATATTGATTTTGACTAAAAATACTTTAGATATTTATAGAAAATGACATATTTTATATATTTATTTTTAAAATAAACCTAAATAAAAATATCAAATTGAAGAGATAATGTGAAGTTAATTATTCAGTGGA